GTTGATCTACTTCTTTGCATCATAAAAAACTTGTTCTTTCAACTTTAAATTTCTATGAGTAATAAACAATCATCAAACTGTAAAAATTGTTAAAATAAAATGTAAATATTTTAAAATGTTTTTTAACATTACTTTTTATTTTAAATAGTAAAAGTTATTATTCAGTATTATATTTTTTGAATTCAATTAGCAAGGTTTAAAAATTACAGTTTAAATGGCAAACTATATAAATGTTAGTTCGCACTGTAATTTTTATTCGGCGACATTAGGAATTATATTATTTTATATTGTAATAAATACATCACCGAGAAACTTTATTTTTTACAGTTTTTAATACTAATTACCCGTCGTTAAACTTCAAAACTTGCGCTCTACATTATGATATTTTTATTGCTATTTAAGTTTAAAGAAATACATAATAACGTTGCGAAGTTTGCACTTTTCCTTTCGATGCGACAGTTTTTACAATTTGAATTGTAATTTTTCCTGTTTTCTATTTTCCGTGTATATATACCGGCAAAAGTATGGAACAAATTCATTAATAAATAAATAAATTTGACTTTTTTCCCAAAAAAATTCCTTGAACTTAAATTAAATTTAAAAGTTCGTGATTTAAGATTTTTTATTTCCAAACAAATATTTTTATCTTCAGGAAAACATGTGTCCAAAAAAGTACGCTTAGCGCAAATACACTTGGTAGATCGGGACCTCCATTCTCATTGGGAAACATTTCTGCTAATGTGGTTTTTCAAAAATTCCAAATACGTTTGTCCTTTCATATTCTCGTCAAAGAAGAAAGGACCTATGATTCGATTTTCCAGCATTCATGCCCAGACTTTCACTTTTTGCCGGTATTGGCCGGTATTGCCTTTACTACCCAATGAGGATTTTCTCTTCTCCAGTATCTACAATTTTGAAGGTTGACTGTACCATTCAAACAAAAGGTAGCTTCTTCCGAAAAAAGTATTTTACGAGGAAAGTGTGGATTATTGTTACATAAATTCATCATAGTTCCACAAAATTGTAGTCTACGGTCCGGATCATCTTCGTTAAGATCTTGCACTATAGTCTACTTTTGTATGGATGGTAGCTACTTTTCTTTCTTCATAAGACGTAATACTGAGCGTTGGCTGCCTTGACTTACAGGCTGTAAGTTACAGCTGCGACTGAGCTAGAAGCATCCACATGTCAATTTTAGAGTCTTCACCAATACTCGGACGGCCAGGTTTTGGAATATCTTTGACATGTCCAGTCTCTCTAAATTTCCCTTCAATTTTACTAAACGTAGCGCTATAGCACGAGTAATAGGTCGAGCTGGATACTTTGCATTTAATAAATTGCAAACTTCTTGTTGTTCTAGTTTTATTGCCATATCCTATGAGAATTAAAACTTCAATTCAAATGGCCCATATTTAAGTATTTGGAGAACGCTCAACTAACTTATAAAATGGCCATACCATGTCCTATACCTAAACTTAATAGTTTTTGAGTTATCAATTTTTTTTGTAAAATTCGGTTAGTTTCACCCTCAACAAAAAAAGCTTATAACTTTTTTAATATTAGGTTTGCATTGTTTTAAAGATTCCATGTAATTTATTATAATATTTCTAAAAAGATACCTACTTAATAAAAAACAATGTGAATGTAGCTAATTAGTTAACTTAAAATAGCAATAACTTTTTTATTTTCAATGGAACGCTGTATATTTTTACATAATTAAATATGAAATTATAATACCTTTTCATTGATATAACTATTCCCTATACCTAAAGTTAATAATAAAGATATTTTACAATTTCTATTATTTAATATTTCAAATGTTTAAATATTAATTTTAAATTAATAAACAATACAAGTGGAATCTACGAATTAGTTTCAAAAACTGTATGTATTCATATGAAAAGAAAATAATAAATTAATAAGAACAATATATTTTTTTCCGGCGTTTGTACCTAAAAGCACTGAATGTCGCTATAGCATATACATATGTATGTATGTTTGTGTACAAACGGTACCTTCATTAAAAGGTACATTATTATTTACTAATAAGGTTAGAAATTCATTAATTAAATAAAAATATTGTTAACAAAAATTGTTAATACAATGATTAAAATGGAGGAAAATCACTATTCAAATGAAGTTTTGATGAACTTGTTTATTCTTCATGGCCAATATGACAAACTTATTGCTAGAACATGCAGAAACTTTTTGTATATTGTACCTTTAATTTGGTTATCCATTAAGAATAAATATTTTTATCAATTTGTTTTAAGTAGTTATTTTCCTTTATTTTAATAATAATAAATATATGGAAAGTTTTGTTATAACAAAACTAATACATTCATACCAAATTAATACACATGAGCAACATTTTATCAGTTTTTCTTCATATTATTAGGGTAATTGTAAATATCTTATCTGTTTATATTAACTTTAAGTATAGGAAATAGTTATATCAATGAAAAGGTATTATAATTTCATCTTTAATTATGTAAAAATATACAGGGCGTTTCATTGAGAATAAAAAAGTTATTGCTGTTTTAAGTTAGCTACATTCACATTGTTTTTTTTTTTCAAGTATCTTTTTAGAAATATTACAATAAATTACATGTAATCTTTAAAACAGGATTTCAATAAATCCAACCGAACATCAGCAAACCTAATATTAAAAAAGTTATAAGCTTTTTTTGTCAAGGGGAAACTGACCAAATTTTACAAAAAAAAATTAATAACTCAAAAACTATTAAGTTTAGGTATAGATACCTAATAATAATAATAATAATAATAATAATCTTTATTTTTATTTATTTATTTATTTATTTATTTATAGCCATTTTATAAGGAATAATGGTAAGAATTTAAAAATGTAAAAAAAGTGGTGATACATTTAAAATAACAAAGTTAATATCGCTTTTGGAATTTTATTCAAAATAATTTAGTTTAAATGATTTTTGACCAAATTTGGTAAAAGTAGGTACTTATGAAATAGATAATCATTACTAAAATTTCGATTTGAGGCTTTGTATACGAGACAATAAGTTTATAAAAATTTTACCAGTAGTTAGTCCATCAAAAAATAAGTAAATTTATTTTCTTCAAAAATTTCTCCCTAGAATAATACAGCAGTTGCGACTTATTTTTCGATAACCTGTATAACCTGTATAACCCTGTATATCTCAGAAACTAATTTGAAAATACAGATAATATAGATATAACTGTTTTATTTTAAGGTTTAGATTATGTATGCATACGCCACCTATTTATTGGGTTCCAAACTAATCTTGGCTTTAAATGATTATTTTGTGGCGCCCTCTATTTGACTTTTGGAAATGTTCTTTTAAACTTTTAAAACATTATTAAAGATTGCTTTTCACGGCCATTGTATTGTTTTTTTTATTTTAACCTTATAGTTGTGGAGCAATAAGACAAAAGCAGTTTTCTTGAAAAATGAGTTAGGTATGAACCAACAGTAAATGAGGAGAAAGATTAATCCATTGGTGAACTCAGATAAATCCAAATTAATACAATTTAAATTCTTGTTTCCATGAAAATAAGGTAAATTCACATTATTGTTATTTTAATAGTTATTTACGTATCAAGCATTGTAAATGAATCTTTACGGGCGAGCTAGAAGTTTGTGGGGTGAGCGACGCAGGAGCGAACACCATAATCCATAATCATAATTAGATACCGTAAATACGGGTGACTTTGCACCCCGCGGGTGACTTTAACCCATTTATGAAAAATCTTTTCGCGCTCGATAAAATTAACATTTATAATTTGTTGGTCTAAACCTGTCAATTGAGCGATTCTATTGAGTTTATATTAGAGGAAAATCAGTGTTTTAAAGAAAGAAATTTGATTTATTACACTTTAAAATTGTATATATCGTATCAGTGCAAAACTCTTAGAAATACACGCGTTACAATTTCTATATTATGCGCAATCCATTGGAATGATGATCCTTGGTTAACTACAGGTCGATTTTTTATTTTTTTTATTGCAATACCATGGTAATCCCTTGCAATAGATATATGTCGCTGCTAACACGTGTCTAATAAAAATAAGATATAATATTACATTCATTTTATACTGAAAAAACACTGTGAGACAAAGTAACCCGCAACCAGGCGGTAACTTTGCACACCCAGTTTTTAATGTTTATTTTTGAAAGTCAGGCCTATGTAATATTATAACTTAATTATTATGAAAGAGCAACTCAAGACTCAAATTTTGGTATACAAAATTTAATGTTTATAATTCGTCACCTGAGAATTATAGTGTTCTATCTGCATTTTCTTTTTTTTATTCAGGTTAGTCTTGTTTTAAGTCTTAAAGATGATATTGATCTATCTATATATAATTGGGGTAGAAATTGTAAAGTTTAAGGTTTAAACTGTACAATTTCTACCCCAATTATATATAGATAGAACAATATGCATCTTTAATACTTAAAACAAGACTAACCTGAATAAAAAAAAGAAAATGCAGATAGAACACTATAATTCTCAGGTGACGAATTGTTAAAACCACAAAAATTTTAAGCTGAAGTTTGAAAGTGAGCCAAAGCCACCCGTGTTTACGGTAACGATTTTCAAATTTAAAATATTAATTAATGTCAAATGTTAAATGAAGATAAATCCTGTCAGGTCAAGCAACACTAGATTAATTTATTTTGTTTTTTTACTATAACACATGATGTAGCCTAGAGAAAGAATGAAAATGTATTCTATAGAGTGTAGTGTTATAAGACCTGAAATCTCATTTTTACCTACATCATGTAGGTAAAAATGAGATTTCAGGTCTTATAACACTACACTCTATAGAATACATTTTCATTCTTTGTTTAAAAGTTGCAGAACGAAAAATATTAGTTTTTCGCTAATAACTCGAAACTGCTTAAAACGGATTTATCTGCTTTTGTTTGATTGCTCCACAGTTGTAAAAGTGGGGAAACTAATAAAAGTATGTAGAAAGAAACATTCCAAACGATATAAAATGTTTAATATTTCTTTAATAAAAAATATAAATACTATAAATAAAAAAGTCTATCTCGCTTAACAAAAAACATTTTTTTTAAGTAGAAAATTCACAAGTTGTCCTGCAACAGCTGGCAAAACTCCTGCGCCTTAATCAATGCGCCATTTTGAATGTCCACCATTTCGCTCAGCAAATTCCTCCAAGATGTCGCGTACTGCTTCCTTTCGAAGCCTTCCTTTTGGCTGTTATTGTACAATTCGCACGCCATTTTGTGGAAATAAACGCAGGATTCGATAACGTGGCGATTGCTTTCCAGCACTTCGTACTCGTTCGACGATAAATCCATCGAATCGTCCTGCTTGAAGTCGTCATCGTCATCATCGTTGTCTTCGTCGAGAATCGCCAAACTTTCCTGGGAATCGTCCAGAGAATCATTCGCGACCAACTCTTTAACTCTATCAGCATACCGTAGGGTGTTCAGCGAATGATCGACAGAAGTATTACCAGGGGAAATTAAGGCTATCATACACGTACGAGATTTTTCCCCGATGAAGCTATCGCGCAGCACCTGCGTCAGCTTGCTACCTCTGAAAGGTAGATGGGCCCCCTTACGGCCCAAAGCACGAATACACTCTTTCAGAGCTAACAAAGACTTATTGATGTCTGCCCCTTCAATACGAGTTTGCCTATTGGACTTGGACGTGTCTGCACCGCGTTCATTGCCAGCCAAATCTATCAGAGAGAATTTGCCTTCGACAACTCTAGAGCCAGCTTTCCTCAGTATGATCTGGAAGACCGCGTGTGATCTGGAAGAGTTCGAGTTTTTGGATGTTTGCCCTGAAGTCCTCTCCAAACTTCCCTTCTGTATTATATCCAACACGTCTTCAACTTTAGAAACGATTTTCTCAGTTAAACCTACTACTTGGACTTGTTGTTTACCATCCTCCAGTACACGAAGGCGCTGTTTTTTCGATAGAAGATCAAAAACAAGTTTTCCGTAGATTTCAAAGAAGCTCGCTGATACTATGTAGTTCATTTTGGCATATTTCGGATTTGCGATTTGTTTAAAAACATCCACCGCCACAAGGCCGTAGATACCGTTCTTAAAGTTCTGAATTTTGCCTGAAAAAAGTCATGTTACCCAAAATACAAGGTCGTCCTAAACACTACATACCTTTGAACTCCCCTCCCATGGTGTGGGTTTTCCCGGAGCCAGTCTGACCGTAAGCAAAACAAGTGGCCATCCCGCCATCGAAAATCGTCTTCACCAAAGGCTTGGCAGTAAACTTGTAAACGATATCGTTCGTGCAACTGTCATCGAAAACGTAGTCGAACCGGAAATGCTGGTTCTCCAGGTATTTGGTCAAATCCACCTTGTGTTTGGGCTCGTGGACAATCAGTTGGTTCTTCGTTGGCACGCTCACGACATCGACTTCTTTGCGGCGGGATTCTCGGTCGTTCAGTGGTCTCTTTCTGACGCATACCTGGAATGTAAATTTGATCTTAAACATCTAGGGCTGCTATACAGTTCCTATAAAGTACAACTTCAAATACCGACAGACAGCTGGTTCGACCTATATTGGGTCTCATCAGTGTCGGGAACTTGGTCTAGTGGAACACATCCAAAACAAAAGACTACCTGAGCTTATATACTACCAACGTAAGTCAACCGAGGCGAGATGTAAGATCATCGCGGGATCCACACCGTCTAAAGACGTAGCATACTTTAAATTTAAACAATAAAAAGATTTTTAAATTTCTAATGACTTTATTGTAATTTTATTTTTCTGTAATTTTGCATAAAATTATATTAAATTAAATTACAGACAATGTTTGTAAATTTGAGAAGCTTTTTATTGGAAACTGACGAACGGTTCAGTAAAATTACAATTTTCTTAAGACAAATAAAAATGTTTGGTAAAATTACAAATGTACCCACTATGTAATTTTACAATCAAAGTTATAAAAACAATAGAAAGATTTTTAAATTTCCAATGACTATTGTAATTTTAATTACGATATTTTTGTGTTATTTTACATAAAATTATATTAAATCAACATTTGTAATCTGAGAAGCTTTTTTGGAAATTGACGAACGGTTCAGTAAAATTACAATTTGCTTAAGACAAATAAAAATGTTTGGTAAAATTACAAATGTATGTACTATATAATTTTACAAACAAAGTTATAAAATCAATAGAATGATTTTTAAATTTCAAATTACTATAGTATACTACAGTATACTACAGTATACTGTAATTTCTATTACGAAATTTTTGTGTAATTTTACATAAAATTATATTAAATCAAGTTAAAGACAATATTTGTAATCTGAGAAGCTTTTTTTTGGAAACTGACGAACGGTTCAGTAAAATTACAATTTGCGTTAGACAAATAAAAATGTGTGGTAAAATTACAATGCACTATGTAATTTTACAATCAAAGTTATAAAAACAATATAAAGATTTTTAACTTTCCAATGACTATTGTAATTTCAATTACGATATTTTTGTGTAATTTTACATAAAATTGTATTAAATCAAATTACAGACAATGTTTGTAAATCTAAAAACTGACAAAGGGTTCAGTTTTCAATGAATTCATTGTAATCATATTACAATATTTTTTGTGATTTTACATAACATTATAGCAAATTAAATTAAAAACAACGTTTGTATTAGGGAATCTCCATCTTAAATCGACCGTGCAAAAAGGTGTGGATCGTTATTTTTTACAGTTTCCCTACCGAAATCGATGAGACCCGTATTTTTTGTTTTTGCTTTAATTTGTTTTGTTCACCCGTAGGAAATTTTTGAAAAATGGGGAGAATATTAAAAAAATAGTTTTGGCATAAAGTATGGTTTTTCAATTTTTGAAAGCTCCTAAAAACCAGTATTGGTTTAATAAAAAAATTGTATTTTTTCCCGACTACTTGGCCCAACCCTGATAGCAAAATTTGATTCTAAGAATCTTCTAAGAAGATACGACTCGGAATAATGGAATATTCTTAGAACCTTCCCTTATTGCTAAGAATGTTCTTAGGGACTTTTAAAACATTCAATAGATACCCTTTTAATGATGCAAGTAGATTCTTAGAAGCTTCTTAAAACCTTCCTAAAAAGCAATCTAAGAACATTTTAAGAATACGTTTTTGGAATGTTCTTAGAAGGTTTCTTATGGAGCTTCTAGGAAGCTTTTGAGAATATTTCCAAATATGTCAGATACCCACGTTCTAATATGTTGTATTCTACATTCGTAAAATTCTTCAGGAGACGACAAATACGCCTCACTGTCATAATATGACAGTGAAATGTATTTGTCGTCCCCTTAAAAAATTTTGTGACATATTAATATATATTTATTTAAAAATATTAAATAAACAATTTGACCTCTAAACCATAAGTTGTATGACATTATTACATAAAAAGTAAAATTGGAAAATTTTGTGGTGATAAGTCAGATTAGATTGAAGTTGAAGATAGTTAGGATTATTATACATAAAAATGTTAATACAAATTAATAAATATTATTTTTAACATTAAATAAAATATAAAAAAACAAAATATTTACTTAAAAAATAATTCTTCATAAAAGAAAAAACCAAAAAGTTCTTCATAAAAAAAACATTTTTCATTGTATTTAAGTTGGATAGAAGATTTTATGTAAAAGCCGGATAATTTAGATACCTATAGCAAAAGTATTTTTGTAATCTAATATTGTTTTAATTTGATAAATAACTATAAAAAATATTTTGGGTTGTTTTTTACTTAGTATTTAATACTAATTACTTTCTCAACATTCTAAGCATATGTTTAGAGTGGATTAATTTTTACCACTAAACTTTGCACCTTCTAAGAACCTGCCTAGAGGCCAGTGAGAATATTCTTAGGATTATGCTATATTTCTTTTAAGCATGTTCTTTAGAAGAAATATAGGATGATCCTAAGAATATTCTCACTGGAAGGTTTAAAAAACATTCTTAGAACATGCCTAGAAGAAATATAGCATGATCCTAAGAATATTCTCACTGGAAGGTTTAAAAAACATTCTTAGAACATGACTAGAAGTAATATAGCATGATCCTAAGAATATTCTCACTGGAAGGTTTAAAAAACATTCTTAGAATAAACTGTGCTATCAGGGAACATGAAGCAGAAAAGCCAATTCAAGGCACTCTAGATATAGACATAAAATTTAATCAAAAAATGATTTGACGTGACAAAAATTGACAATTGACATACATCCATGGATGCAGTGTATTTTTTGAATGTGTGTGATTGCGTCATCAATTGGGTCGTATGAATTAAACCGAAACTAAATTTAGAGTCAGTAGCGTATCATTTTGAAGGGGTCTAAGCATTTATTTTGGGTGTATTTTTGGTTGCCTAATGTCGCCTCATAGTTACGCAACTCAGTTTACACCCAAAAACAATAATTCTAATGATTAGTGCGCATTTATTTTAACTTTATTAATGAAAATTATGCAAATTTTATAAACGAATAACAATAAACAAAATTTTTGTACATAATATTATTTACATACATATAATATATTATAATTTTATTAAGACAAAATATTAATTAATAAAATAAAATGTTATAGGAGAACAAAAACAAAATTACTAAAGGTCATCCTCGTCGGAACTGTCTTCTCCGAGGTGGATAATTAGTTCTGGCACGTCAACGACCATCCTTGTCTTTTGGAACCAATCATCAATTAATTTGTTGGTGTGCCTCACTACTGAACACCAACGTTCTAGCGTGCATTGGTTCAGTGCTTGGCCCGCCATTGCTAGCACTTTAGTGTCGCCATAACCGTCTTTCCCCATGTGGGAATAATAATATGTTTTAGCCTAAAACAGAATTCGTTGTTGCAAGCGCCCATCTAATTGTTTATGTATGTACCTGCGCCCATATAAGTTCAATGGCAGTGAACTGGCAGTGATATGGAGGCAGACGCAAAACCTCATGCCCATGCTGCTGGAGGTACTCATCAACTTTGTAACGCTTAGGCGGGGTGTGGTAGCGTGCCAGGAACAGTAATTCCGCTTTAAATATACCTTCGATAAACTGAATATTATGTTCTGTTAGCCACTCTTCTATTTGCTGTTTTTTTCCAAGCTGTAGGGTGACGCTCAACAACGACGCTGTGGAGCGTTGTCCATCACAATCAGTGAAGGTTCCTTCAAATTTGGCACCAACTTTTCAGCTACCCACCTTTAGAATAATTCACCGTTCATGTCCCCGTGGTAATCTGCCAGGTTCGATTTAGTTATCAACAAAACCACCCTCATGGCCTGCATGGAGTATAATAAAACGCTTTCCCTACTTGCACTTGGCCTCTTGAAAAAATCCAAGTCTCATCTAAAAACACAACTTGGCGTTTAAATTTGGAATTAGCGTTCAGGGTGTACTGCGAAACACCACGTCCTGCTGCTCCATTAAAGCAACTCTGTTATTATGCTTTTTATATTTCCTGAAGCAAGCTGTACAGAGAACTTCTGCTTATGTCAACAATTTCCTTTAATTTGAGCTGCTCATTAAGAGTATTCAGGGTTAAGTGCTTTCCTACAAATGAAACACATCAATGCAGAACCACTATTGTTGGTCATTGTGACCTAAATAACTATAAACCAACGTGCGCCATACATGTCATAAATTATCTTCCTTATTTTGGAGGCTTCGGCTCTTTAATTTTTTACGACGTGAGTATTTTCCATGTCCATATTTTGGCCTTAGTTTTGCTGCAAGAAGGTTGGGCTGGGACCTCGTCTAATGCTTTTGCTTTCCGCAAAGCATTGCCCACTGTATTAATCGAAATGCCAAAGGCATTCGCCACACGCTGCAATCGGAAGTGTGCTGTAGTGAAATAGCGGTTATACATATTTTCATATTGCGCATGCGATTTTACTATTGCACATGTCTTTGACCCTAAAGTAAATATGCTCAGTAGAAACAAGCCTAACATAGCTTACCTCTTGGACACAGTTTAGGGGGAGCAGGGGACCCCCATGCTCCAGTTCCCTTTGAAAATATTGAACTAAATTAATAATAAAACGTTTTTGATTATCGTCCAAACTTTCGCAAGACATTTTTTAAAACCTGTCAAACTTCCAAAATCTGTTCTTTAATGCCAAATTACTGTATGAACGCCACTGACTCTTCAAATTTTGATAAATTTCGGCTGAAACTATACGCGCTCTGTCCTTTTTCAGCACAAACCGCGTGAGCGCGACATCGGATTCACGTTTGTCGTAAATTACATTTTATTGTGTCGCCATCTTCTGGTTTAGCTGATCCCGATACGTTTTAGAATTTCAGATAAACTTTTACAAAGAAAAAAAAGACAGCTACACATTTTAATGTCTTTGATGACGCAATCACACACATTCAAAAAATACACTGTATGTATTCAGAATTTTATTTTGTATGTAAAAATGCATAGGGTGTTTCATTAAAAAATAAAAAGTTAAGACCATTTCCGGTGAAACCGGAAGTGACAATAATATTTTAAATATGTCAAAAAGTTCTAAATTACACTTTATAAAGGTCACTCCAGTTTCATGACCCTAGATAAGATACCAATTGTCGATTAACCACGAATTTACTAGAAAATGGCATTTTCAATAAAAAAATAATAATTCCGAAACGACGAATTTAGCCAACTACGGACTTTTGGTGAAAGTTGTTCATATTATCAACTTAAAAAAAAATATAAAGTAAAAAAAAATGTGGCAATGGTCAAATTTTGACCTACAATTAAAAAAAAATTAAGTATCTAAACTGTTTTGGTCAAGTTATGGCATTTTCAAGAATAAATTTCACTCGTAAATAGGGAATAATTGATGTTTCTCTCCATTTTTCAAAAATTTCCTACGGGTGAACAAAACAAATTTAAGCAAAAAGAAAATATACGGGTCTAATCGATTTTGGTGGGGAAACTTAAAAACAAATCTTTTAAAAATAACGAATTGCCTGGTCGATTTGAGATGGAAAGGCCCATTAGTATACACTGATTTGTAATTTTACCTATCCTTTGTTTTGCAAAACAATTGTAATTTTACAAAAAAAATTAACATGTACATACTGTGATTTGGTTCTCCACCACAGGATCGGTGTCTCTCAGGGGCTTGAACTCCACTCCTTGCTTGAACTCGGAGATCATGTGCGCAAACTCCCAGTACGGGGTGGCGTGCTCCATCGCCTGCATCATTTGTTCCCGCATGGTTTTCTCTTCGGCCTGCTTTAGCCGGCGTTCGTCTCTAGATTTTGCGATGAGTTCGACTTTCCGGGCTGCGTCTGATTTGTAGTCGAACATTGAGTCCCGTCTGTTTTTCGTCTTCTTGGGGCTCGACGGTTTTACAGGGCTGCAAGGACGGGGAAGAGATCCTAAAATTATTTTTTTGGATTAGGGATATTAAAACTAAAATGGGGTACTCTCTAAAAATAAATTATTCAAAAATTGCTAATTGTCATAGCCAAAATCAGCCACTAAAATTGCCCCTTAAATCCGAAAATGTCGTCAAAAATTATGAAAGTAGATCAGAGATAAAGTCAATTTTCCATATAAAATGGAATTGACTAAATCTCAACTTTCATAATTTTGTACGGTATTTTCGGATTCAGGGGACAATTTCACATAAGAATTGGCTATTAAATGTTGGGGATACCATGGTATGCCATGGTTAACCATGGTATAAGTGAAAAAGCAGCCACTAATAACTGTAGTAACTAGTAATTTTTGACTAATTCATTTTTGGAGAGTTTAGATACTCACTGGCAACCCTGGGGGATTGCAAGCTGTGGCAGGGTTTAGTAGGAGTTGTAAAATCGTCTTGATTTCCTTGTGAAGACAATGAATCGGTGGTTGGCAACTTCATCTCCGATTTCTTTTCTTTATCGCTTATTAGGATGGGGAACATTTTCCCTCCTGTCAAACACACGTCACCTATTTTAGGACATTTGTGTTTTAAACTTAACATTGTTACTTTTTAGTCATAACAATAGATAAGTGAATTATTATTAATAATAATATTACCCTTGACGAGTTATGGAGGTATACAAAACAATTTGGCTGAAATTTCTATCTACATGTTTTGGAGTTCTTTTCACAGGGCAAATCAAGATTTGGGACTGGTAATTTCTTGGTAAATGTCAAATTGACAGGATTTTTATTTTGACACTTTGGTTATGTTGGTAGTCGATATTTCAAGCTTACCTTTGTCATTTTGGTTAGAAATGGTTAAAAAAGAATAAAACATATTGACTTCAATAAAGTATTGTAAACAACTAATGTAAAAATTATATGCATTTTTTGTGGGCGATATACATCATATGAATCACAATTTATTTTAATTACAAAGTGAATATTTTATACTTACGTCTATTATCATAAAGAAAATACTTCTTTAAAAACATGGTGATAATTATTAATAATAAAATAGTATAGTAGACGTAAAAATCCGGGCTATACGTAACAACATATTTAAAATATTGACCAAACATCAGGACAGAGTTTTTACTTATTCACTTAATACTGGCGCTAAAATATGAATGTTTTTAAAATATATTTTAATATTTAACATGTTTCGTACAAAAACTTTTGTAAATGTAAATTATAATGTAATCTTCTTAGTTTGTTGCGGTCTGCAAGGTTAATATTAGTTTATGGTAAATGAAGGTCCTCCCACGTTAGGAATTGGAAATGTTATAAAGTAGATGTTCTTAATAATTATTATAGATGAGTGTAACCATATATAAAGGAATATCTTTTAGTTCTTTTAACAAAAAAGACAATCGTTTTAATAACGAAATACCTTTTATTATATTTGTAACTATCATACATGATAATAATTTTTAATCGAAAATCCTAAATCCAAAATATGAAAAAATAAATAATGCTTTTTAAAAAGATAGCATAGGAAAAATAAGATCAGGGATTGCAATGTGTAACCCAAAGAGTATTTCAATAAAAACCCTAAATCCTCTAAAATACAGAATTTAGAAAATTTAAAATAGATTGCTTAGGAAAAATATTGATTATGATGGCAATGTTTAGAAGATAACCTCGAGGATAACCTAAAGAATATAATATTTTCAATGGAAAAAGGTAACCCAAAGAATGTCTAATTTTTAATGGAAACACTAAATCTTTTAATGTACAGAATTTTTAAAATGTAATACATTTAAAACAAATAGCATAGAAAAATTAACATCAGGAATGGATGATGGAAATTCTTCTTCTAAAAAGGGTATCCTAAAGAATATCTGATATTAAATGGAAACCCCAAAATCTTCAAATATTATACATTTAAAATAGACAGCATGGATGATGGCAATGTTTCTTTCTAAGAAGGTAATCTGAAGAAAAGGTTTAATGGAAAAAACACTAAATCTTCTTATAACAAGAATATAAAAATGATGCGTTTAAAATATATAGCATGGAAAAAATAACATCGGGGATGGTTACATAAGAAATATCTCATTTTCAATAAAAGACTGTAAATCTTTTAATAAACAGAATTTAAAAAAAAATATTTTGTTTAAAATAGATCGCATAGGAAAAATAACATCAGGAAAAGATGATGGAAATGCTTCTTCCCAAGAAGGTAACCTAATGAATATATAATTTTTAATGTAAACACAAAATCTTCTAATATGAAAAATTGAAAACATATGATGAATTTAAAATAGATAGCATAGACAAAATAACATCGGGCATAAATGATGGCAATGTTTCTTCCTAAGAAGGTAACATAAGAAATATTTAATTTTTCATAAAGGACCCTAAATCTTTTAATATACAGAATTTTGAAAATATAATCCATTTAAAATAGATAGCATGGAAAAATTAACATCAGGGATGCATAATGACCGGTCAACATTACCAGTATTGCCGTTATGTAACATAGGAGTAACATTGCAATATAACGATGTTACTAAAATGCAAGGCAACAGTTACCTAAAATAATGATAACATTGTTACCGTCCCAAGTTAACCAATATGCAATATAACAATAACGTAACATTGCGATACTATTGTAATGTAACAAAATTACCAATAAGCAATGTAACAACAATGTAATTACAATATTTTCTCAATGTTAACATTGAGAAAATATTGTAATGTAACAAAAGCAATATAACAGCAACGTAACATTGTGAAACTATTGTAATATAACAAAATTACCAATATGCAATATAACAGTAACGTAACATTGCGATACTATTGTAATGTAACAAAATTACCAATAAGCAATATAACAGTAACGTAACATATGCAATATTGCAATACTATTGTAATAAGTTTGTTACGTAACAGTTACATTTATGTTAAGTAACAAACTTATACTTATACACATCATTTACATCTCGCTCGTGTTACCACCTCGATTAAGTATATAAACGAAGTTAAGACAGCGCACCTTGTCCATTTGTCATTGGACCTCAAACAGTATGCCTGATTATGGGAAAGTCAGAATATATCTTTTAGTTCTTTTAACAAAAAGACAATCGTTTTAATAACGAAATACCTTTTATTATATTTGTAACTATCATACATGATAATAATTTTTAATCGAAAATCCTAAATCCAAAATATGAAAAAATAAATAATGCTTTTTAAAAAGATAGCATAGGAAAAATAAGATCAGGGATTGCAATGTGTAACCCAAAGAGTATTTCAATAAAAACCCTAAATCCTCTAAAATACAGAATTTAGAAAATTTAAAATAGATTGCTTAGGAAAAATATTGATTATGATGGCAATGTTTAGAAGATAACCTCGAGGATAACCTAAAGAATATAATATTTTCAATGGAAAAAGGTAACCCAAAGAATGTCTAATTTTTAATGGAAACACTAAATCTTTTAATGTACAGAATTTTTAAAATGTAATACATTTAAAACAAATAGCATAGAAAAATTAACATCAGGAATGGATGATGGAAATTCTTCTTCTAAAAAGGGTATCCTAAAGAATATCTGATATTAAATGGAAACCCCAAAATCTTCAAATATTATACATTTAAAATAGACAGCATGGATGATGGCAATGTTTCTTTCTAAGAAGGTAATCTGAAGAAAAGGTTTAATGGAAAAAACACTAAATCTTCTTATAACAAGAATATAAAAATGATGCGTTTAAAATATATAGCATGGAAAAAATAACATCGGGGATGGTTACATAAGAAATATCTCATTTTCAATAAAAGACTGTAAATCTTTTAATAAACAGAATTTAAAAAAAAATATTTTGTTTAAAATAGATCGCATAGGAAAAATAACATCAGGAAAAGATGATGGAAATGCTTCTTCCCAAGAAGGTAACCTAATGAATATATAATTTTTAATGTAAACACAAAATCTTCTAATATGAAAAATTGAAAACATATGATGAATTTAAAATAGATAGCATAGACAAAATAACATCGGGCATAAATGATGGCAATGTTTCTTCCTAAGAAGGTAACATAAGAAATATTTAATTTTTCATAAAGGACCCTAAATCTTTTAATATACAGAATTTTGAAAATATAATCCATTTAAAATAGATAGCATGGAAAAATTAACATCAGGGATGCATAATGACCGGTCAACATTACCAGTATTGCCGTTATGTAACATAGGAGTAACATTGCAATATAACGATGTTACTAAAATGCAAGGCAACAGTTACCTAAAATAATGATAACATTGTTACCGTCCCAAGTTAACCAATATGCAATATAACAATAACGTAACATTGCGATACTATTGTAATGTAACAAAATTACCAATAAGCAATGTAACAACAATGTAATTACAATATTTTCTCAATGTTAACATTGAGAAAATATTGTAATGTAACAAAAGCAATATAACAGCAACGTAACATTGTGAAACTATTGTAATATAACAAAATTACCAATATGCAATATAACAGTAACGTAACATTGCGATACTATTGTAATGTAACAAAATTACCAATAAGCAATATAACAGTAACGTAACATATGCAATATTGCAATACTATTGTAATAAGTTTGTTACGTAACAGTTACATTTATGTTAAGTAACAAACTTATACTTATACACATCATTTACATCTCGCTCGTGTTACCACCTCGATTAAGTATATAAACGAAGTTAAGACAGCGCACCTTGTCCATTTGTCATTGGACCTCAAACAGTATGCCTGATTATGGGAAAGTCAGAATACGATATTATGTATCATTTGATACGCTTTAGCGTTCAACTGACGAGACTTTCTCATGTCGAGCATAATAACGTTGCAACTTAACAATATTACATAACCTTAAAGGCCATGTTATGTAACAAAAGTTCGATTGCGAAAATGTTATTGTTACCTATTTGCAACCATCAGGGTATTTAACTGTAATGTTACATATTACGATTGTTGCATAACATTTTGGTTAATGTTACATTACAGTTATATTTCACTTTCATAACGGCAATGTAACATTGTAGTCTATTAAAAAGATCCATAACAAGAACATAACAATTATAATGCATTTATGTAACGACAACGTAACATTGTTATGTAACAATGTTACTTCAATGAGTGTTAAATAGGATCCTATTTGCAACCGTCAGGTTATGTAACTTTAATATTACGATCGTTACATAACATTTTGGTTAATGTTACGTAACAGTTATGTGTCATTTTCATAACGGCAATGTAACATTGTTATGTAACATGAGTGGGAAATAGGAACGAACATATTTGCAACCATCAGGTTATGTAACTGTAATGTTACACATCACAATCGTTACATAACGTTTTGGTTACTGTTACGTTACAATGTTGACCGGGTGGTAATGCTTCTTCCTAAGAAGGTAACCTAAAGTATATCTATATTTTAATGGAAAACCCTAAATCTTTTAATTTGGACAATATAATGCGTTTAGAAAAATTACATCAGGGATGGATGAAAGAAATGTGGCCTCCTAAGAAGGTAACTTAAAAAATATCATATTTTAAATGGAAAACCCTAAATCTCTAATATGCAGAATTTTAAAAATATAAAACATTTAAAATAGATGGCATAGAAAAAATAACATTAGGGATGGGTGATGGCAATGTTTCTTTTTAAGACGGTAACCTAAAGAATATCTATTTTTGAATAAAAAACCCTAAATCTTCTATTAAATTTTTTATATTATATGATTTGGAGTGTTCCATTATAAAAAATTTGGAAAATAAAATGCATTTAAAATAGATAGCATAGTTAAAATAACATCAGAGACGGATGATTGCAATGTTTCTTCCTAAAAAGGTAACCCAAAGATTAATCTAATTTTTAGTGAAAACCCCTTAATAGAGATAGAATATATGATGGGCAATGTTTCTTCCTAAGAAGGTAACCTAAAAAATATCTAATTTTCAATGGAAAACCCTAAATCTTCTAATATCCAGAATTTTGAAAATATAATAATTAAAAATAGATGGCATATAAAAAATAACATCAGAGATTGATAATGGCAATGTTTCTTCCTAAGAATTTAACCTAAAGAAAATTAATCTTTCAATGAAACCCTGTACATCTTCTAATATCCAGAATTTTAAAAATATAATTCTGTTAAAATATATAGCATAGGAAAAATAACATCAGGGATGGATGATGGCAATGTTTCTATAGAATATCTAATTTTCAATGGAAATCCCTAAATCTCCTTATATCCAGAATTTTAAAAATATAATAATTAAAAATAGATGGCATAGGAAAAATACTATCAGCGATGTATGATGGCAATGTTTCTTCCTAAGAAGGTAACCTGAAGAATATCGAATTTTCAATGAAAAACCGTAAATTTTGAAAATATAACACTGTTAAAATGGATAGCATAGGAAAAATAACATCAGGGATGGATGATGGCAATCTTTCTTCTCAAGAGGGTAACCTAAAGAATATCTAATTTTAAATCTTTTAATATCCATAATTTGGAAAGTATAATAATTAAAAATAGATAGCATAGGAAAAATCAGGGATGGATAATGACAATGTTTCTTCCCATGAAGGTAACCTAAAGAATATCTAATTTTCAATGGTAAACCCTTAATCTTCTATTATCCAGAATTTTGAAAATATAATACATTAAAAATATATCTATAGATAGCATAGGAAAAATAACATTAGGGATGGATGTTGGCAATGTTTCATTCTAAGAAGGTAACCTAAAGAATATTGAATTTTCAATGAATAACTGTAAATCTTTTAATATCCAGAATTTTTAAAATATAATACTGTTAAAATAGATAGCATAGGAAAAATAACATCAGGGAGTAATGTTGGCAATGTTTCTTCCTAAGAAGGTAACCTAAAGAATATCGAATTTTCAATGAAAAACCGTAAATCTTTTAATATCCAGAATTTTTAAAATATAATACTGTTAAAATAGATAGCATAGGAAAAATAACATCAGGGATGGATGATAGCAATGTTTCTCCCTAAGAAAGTAACCTTAAAAATATCTTATTTCTAAATCATCTAATCTCCAGAATTTTAAAAATATAAAACATTAAAAATAGATAGCTAGGAAAAATAACATCAGGAATGGATGATGGCAATGTTTCTTTCTAAGAAGGTAACCTAAAGAATATCTAATTTTCAATGGAAAACCGTAAATCTTCCAATCACCAGAATTTTAAAAATATAATACATTCAAAATAAATAGTATGGGAAAAATAACATCAGGGATGGATGCTGGCAATGTTTCTTCCTAGGAAGGTAACCTCAAGAATATCTATTTTTTAATGGAGAACCCTAAATATTCTTATATACATAGAAAAAATAACATCATGGAATGGATGTTCACATGCTTTCTTTTCAAGAATATCAAATTTTATGGAAAACCTTACCAAATGGAATATAAAATTTTGGTTTTTTAATATTTTAAACAAATTAACGCAAAAAATACCTAAATTTTTTATCACTCTAGTGGATGATAACTAGGAGTTAAAAAAATATTTTTTGTTTATTTACAAGTTTATTTTCTTAAAAAACTTTTTACATATTCAAAAAAATTAATGATAGGTACATAATATTTATCACCAACTCTTAAATCTATTTACAAAATAGAAAAATAATCGCGTCACAATTTCATAGAATAATTGTATAAGTAAGTAAATAATAATTAAATTCTTTACCTTTAAATTTTATTTTTATTATAATAAAAAAATGATATTATAAATACTCCAGAGAAAAAATATTAAAAATTGCAAAAATATGAAAAAGGCAATTTTTAGGTGAATTCATTTAATTGTTTTTGGTTGATTTTTAAATTTTTATAACCTATTGTTCTTGTCTTTCTTTAAAAATCAACTCCTTCATACTTTTTTTAAGTATATTTTCCCCTTAACTAACTAAAATAAAAGTAAAGAATTAATTTTTCTAAAGCTATATTTGTTTGTTGTGACGCGATTTTAACATTGAATTAATTTAATAATAAACTAATTATAGATCGTCATTTTTAAAAATATTCTCTAAATACTAGGAAGGTTATATAGGGGGCGCAGCGCCCCCTATGAACGCATCTGGTGGAACTAAACCCTGCGCGTGGGAGTTTCTAAACGCTTCCACTGCGCGCATCTGGTTCCACTGGGTCTCTTCTAAGCATCTGTTAAAGAAAATAAGTATTCTAAATTGTTCCTATAAAGTAGATTTATGTCACGCCGTTTTAACATTTATTAAAATTTTTTAATTTAAAATTTTATTGGTTTAAAAATTTTACGTTTACATTTATAAATTTAATATTTTCATGCATTGAAAGACAAAATAACTAGCAGTTTACATCTGTATTAAACAATATTATTTCCAATCAATTATTGCAAAAATTTCTCAAGTATGTAAATCTTAAATAATAATTTAATAAAATTATTTAGATTACATTGGTAAAGTTAAATTTTTTAGTATTTTAAAATAGGGTAGAGAAATTTAAAATAAAAAGACTCAAAACAATTGATAATCAAAAAATATTTTAAATATAAAAGTTTAAGTTTAAGAGTCATTTAAATGATCGTTTATAAATTTTTAATACAAAAATTCTCACATTACATTTAAAAATGTTAGTTTTAAATTTTGAATTAAAGACTCTAGAGCTCTACAAATTTAAACCAATAACTTTTATTTTTAACAAATTAAAATTGAACTTTTATTTTTAACAAATCAAAATTGATACATTTTTAACACAAACATATTCACATTACATTTAAATCGATAAATTTTTAATAAAAAAATTACATGGATTACAAATTAAAATAAAAAAAATTTACATTCAATGCCACTATTTTTTTCTAATGTATTTTGACCTGTTAAACTTCAGTCACGAAAAAATTATGGCAAGGTTTTTGAGATAAATTTTGTTTTTTTAAGATAGCAGCTTTACAATTTGGGTCATATCTCGGGTTAGAAATTGCCAATCTGGCTGCAAAAAGTGTCAAATGAAACATTCGAGTCGCCGACAAATATCACGTTCTTAGAACCCAATCAGTTAATTAGCTTAAGTTCAATGGGCTCAAATATTGAAAAAAGTTTTTTGGACAAAAATTAGAATGCATCATTATTTTCTTTGCCAAGGATGAACAAAAATTATCAAAGTATGTCAATTTTTAAATTATCTACGTGAAGTTCAAACTGTTATGAAGAAAACAATATTTTCGAAATAAATCTATTGATAATTAAAGGGGTTAATAATGCAAGAAGTGGACATTTCCATTTTTTTCCGAAATGTAGTTTTTTACAAAAAAAGGATTTATGTGCATCATGGAACCTTTTTACAGTTAAATAAATTTTGTTTTACATTTTAATATTTAAAACTAACCACCCTTAATTTGTCGGAAACTAAATTTTTTTTGAAAAAACGCCGAAAGACGTAATTTTTATATCGAGGGGGACAACTTTTCAAAGCAAAATTTGGTTTCCTACCTTTATTTCCTGCTCCCAGGAACCGCCCCCTTAAGAATTTGAAAAGGGAAGACGTATCGAGTAATACATTATTTTAAAGGTCGTTAAAATTCCCATGCAACAGTGTTTTATTTTTTTAATCGGTCTGTTTATTTTTGAGATATGTAAAAATTCTTAAGGGGAAAGCTCCTGGGAAAATTTTGCTCCTGCTAAAACTTTACGCGTCTCGTTGTTTTTTCAAGATTCTTTCAGTTTCCGAGAAATTCAGGGTGTTCCGTTTTAAATGGAACACCCTATAAGAGGTGTGTTCAGAAAATAACGGGAATTGTTAAATTTCGCGGGTTCGGAGGGTCCGGTTGCCATCAAATTTTCTTTATTATGTTGGTATACATGCCCCCAAGTATGATAAAAACTTTAGCTGTTTTCATCGTTTACTTTGTCTGTGGCAGCCGCTAAGGTTAGACGTGTTTTATGAGCTCGGCGATTTTCGTTCGTTAAAAGAAATGGATCAAAGAAATCTGTATCCAATTAATGTAGACGAATAAATAAATATTTTCAAAAAATGAAAATTCCCGATATTTTCTGAACACACCTCGTATATCATTATAAGAAAATCGGGTTTTCTTTTACTTATTGTATCAAATTTAAAAAAAAAGTAGCATACAACAGCGATATCACAACCTAAAATTTAATGTTTTAAACCACAAAAAGTCAGTTCAGTAAATTATATATAAACAACAAACAAGTCTTTCCTTAAAGTATTAAATTTATTTAATTGCATTAAACTACAATATACGCTACGAAACAAAATGTTGAATTTTCTTACCTGTCATAACTGTCATAACTTTTTTTTTAATACCTTATTTTTATCAAAAAAGTGTAAACTCCTTGTAGATACTTTAAAAATGGGCATATTTTAATGATTTTTGCTTCTTCTTGGTAAAATAGTAAATACTTTACTCAAATTTTTCAAAAAAATTGGCCATTTCAAACTCGAAATATGAACAAAATTGTAAAGATACCTTCAAAAAAACAATTTTTTTATTTGGAAACCCTGACATGAAAAAAAATTGTATTGTAATTTTTACTTTAAAATTTAAATGTAATGTGAAAATTTTTGTATTAGAAATTTAAACCGAAAATTTTGTAGAATAAATTTTTTGTACTAAAATTTTTAAAAATCAATATTTTTAAGCGTGAAGTTTTACAGTTGTATTTTATATTTAAAATATTGTTTGACTATAAATTGTTTTGAGTTTAAAAAAATTTAACTTTGTAAATTTATGTTAAAACATCATTAAAGTGCTATATACTATATATACTATAAATTGTTTTGAGTTTAAAAAAATTTAACTTTGTAAATTTATGTTAAAACATGATTAAAGTGCTAAACTTTAATCTTCAAACTTTTATCTAATACTTAAATGCTAAAACGGCGTGCCATATAGATTTGACATTCTAAAATATGTTTTTTACGGTCTTTTGCGAGTGTAATAATAAAATTAATTTTAAAAAGTACTCACTTGATGGACCATTCGGGGTTCATCCCAGTTTCCTGGCACGTCTGTGCCACCATTCTCTGCTTTAGATCGTCCGGTATAACCGCGTTAACCGGATTCACCATTGGCGATTGGTGAGTAGGGGGCGCCACGGGCGCTGGCGTCGGCGTCTTGAACGCCCTTCTTGTCTGCTCCACGTTGGCGTTGGTCACGTGCAAGGCGTCGTTCAGGATGCAGAATCCTGCGCCTGCAGGAACGATGACGAGGGTGCGGAAAAAGTGACGTAACGGAGGGATTTTGTGACCGCTTTTTAGCTCTTTGAACATTCCGGTGATGGTGAGGCTAATCATGACGGGCTGCAGGAAAAAAGTGAAATTTGTTTAATCCTGTCAAAAGGATAAAGCCTCTTCATGAAAGTCCTCCAAAGTCATCAGAAATAATCAAAAATACGTTTGCAAAAAACTTTCAAGATCAGCAAACGCAACAAAAGTTCTTCAAGATGGATGTTTTGAAGATGAAGAAAAGTGATGAGAAAATTGGTTTAAATAAAAAGTGTTCATGAAGAAGGGACTTTCACGGTAAGAATAAAGCCTCTTCGACAAAGTCCTCCAAAGAAATCATCAGAAAAAAATCAAAAATACGTTTGCAAAAAACTTTTAAGATCAGCAAACTCAACAAAAGTTCTTCAAGATGGATGTTTTGAAGGTGAGAAAAAGTAATAAGAAAATTGGTTCAAACGTACACAAAGTGTTCATGAAGAAGGGACTTTCAAGGTAAGACTGAAGCCTCTTCAACAAAGTCCTCCAAAGAAATCATCAGAAATTATCAAAAATACGTTTACAAAAAACTTTCAAAATCAGCAAACGCAACAAAAGTTCTTCAAGATGGATGTTTTGAAGGTGAGAAAAAGTAATAAGAAAATTGGTTCAAACGTACAAAAAGTGTTCATGAAGAAGGGACTTTCACGGTAAGAATAAAGCCTCTTCGACAAAGTCCTCCAAAGGAATCATCAGAAATGGTCAAAAATACGTTTGCAAACGCAACAAAAGTTCTTCAAGATGGATATTTTGAAGGTAAAAAAAGGAATAAAAAAATTGGTACAAAAAGTGGTCAATTTTTAAAATAGATAAATTTCGAACATTTTTATTTAAAAACGTATCGATTTGAAATTAAGATAAAATGTAGACCTTATTAGTGGCAATAAATCCAAGTATATTTTGTTAGATTTTAACATACAGGGGGCGCGGGGGACAATTTAATTTAAAATTTTACTATTTTTTAAGGGTTAAAAAGTCGAAGAAGCAACGTTGTTTTATAATTTTGAGTATATCACGTTAAAGTACTGATAATTAACTATTATTTGATATATAAACTTCTAAATGCAAATTATGTTTCTACAAGAGACACCATTTTTAAGTCAGGTGAGAAAAAGTAATAAGAAAATTGGTTCAAACGTACAAAAAGTGTTCATGAAGAAGGGACTTTCAAGGTAAGACTGAAGCCTCTTCAACAAAGTCCTCCAAAGAAATCATCAGAAATTATCAAAAATACGTTTGCAAAAAACTTTCAAGATCAGCAAACGCAACAAAAGTTCTTCAAGATGGATGTTTTGAAGGTGAGAAAAAGTAATAAGAAAATTGGTTCAAACGTACAAAAAGTGTTCATGAAGAAGGGACTTTCACGGTAAGAATAAAGCCTCTTCGACAAAGTCCTCCAAAGAAATCATCAGAAAAAATCAAAAAAAACGTTTGCAAAAAACTTTTAAGATCAGCAAACTCAACAAAAGTTTTTCAAGATGGATGTTTTAAAGGTGAGAAAAAGTGATGAGAAAATTGGTTCAAACGTACAAAAAGTGTTCATGAAGAAGGGACTTTTACGGTAAGAATGAAGCCTCTTCGACACAGTCCTCCAAAGAAATCATCAGGAATTATCAAAAATACGTTTGCAAAAAACTTTCAAGATCAGCAAACGCAACAAAAGTTCTTCAAGAGGGTGAAGAAAAGTTATGAGAAAATTGGTTCAAACGTCCAAAAAGTGTTCATGAAGAAGGGACTTTTACGGTAAGAATGAAGCCTCTTCGACACAGTCCTCCAAAGAAATCATCAGGAATTATCAAAAATACGTTTGCAAAAAACTTTCAAGATCAGCAAACGCAACAAAAGTTCTTCAAGAGGGTGAAGAAAAGTGATGAGAAAATTGGTTCAAACGTACAAAAAGTGTTCATGAAGAAGGGACTTTCAAGGTAAGAATGAAGCCTCTTCAACACAGTCCTCCAAAGAAATCATCAGAAATTATCAAAAATACGTTTGCAAAAAACTTTCAAGATCAGCAAACGCAACAAAAGTTCTTCAAGAGGCTGAAGAAAAGTGATGAGAAAATTGGTTCAAATGTACAAAAAGTGTTCATGAAGAAGGGACTTTCAAGGTAAGACTGAAGCCTCTTCAACAAAGTCCTCCAAAGAAATCATCAGAAATTATCAAAAATACGTTTGCAAAAAACTTTCAAAATCAGCAAACGAAACAAAAGTTCTTCAAGATGGATGTTTTGAAGGTGAGAAAAAGTAATAAGAAAATTGGTTCAAACGTACAAAAAGTGTTCATGAAGAAGGGACTTTCACGGTAAGAATAAAGCCTCTTCGACAAAGTCCTCCAAAGGAATCATCAGAAATCGTCAAAAATACGTTTGCAAACGCAACAAAAGTTCTTCAAGATGGATATTTTGAAGGTAAAAAAAGGAATAAAAAAATTGGTACAAAAAGTGGTCAATTTTTAAAATAGATAAATTTCGAACATTTTTATTTAAAAACGTATCGATTTGAAATTAAGATAAAATGTGGACCTTATTAGTGGCAATAAATCCAAGTATATTTTTTTAGATTTTAACATACAGGGGGCGCGGGGGACAATTTAATTTAAAATTTTACTATTTTTTAAGGGTTAAAAAGTCGAAGAAGCAACGTTGTTTTATAATTTTGAGTATATCACGTTAAAGTACTGATAATTAACTATTATTTGATATATAAACTTCTAAATGCAAATTATGTTTCTACAAGAGACACCATTTTTAAGTCAGGTGAGAAAAAGTAATAAGAAAATTGGTTCAAACGTACAAAAAGTGTTCATGAAGAAGGGACTTTCAAGGTAAGACTGAAGCCTCTTCAACAAAGTCCTCCAAAGAAATCATCAGAAATTATCAAAAATACGTTTGCAAAAAACTTTCAAGATCAGCAAACGCAACAAAAGTTCTTCAAGATGGATGTTTTGAAGGTGAGAAAAAGTAATAAGAAAATTGGTTCAAACGTACAAAAAGTGTTCATGAAGAAGGGACTTTCAAGGTAAGACTGAAGCCTCTTCAACAAAGTCCTCCAAAGAAATCATCAGAAATTATCAAAAATACGTTTGCAAAAAACTTTCAAGATCAGCAAACGCAACAAAAGTTCTTCAAGATGGATGTTTTGAAGGTGAGAAAAAGTAATAAGAAAATTGGTTCAAACGTACAAAAAATGTTCATGAAGAAGGGACTTTCACGGTAAGAATAAAGCCTCTTCGACAAAGTCCTCCAAAGGAATCATCAGAAATGGTCAAAAATACGTTTGCAAACGCAACAAAAGTTCTTCAAGATGGATATTTTGAAGGTGAAAAAAGGAATAAAAAAATTGGTACAAAAAGTGGTCAACTTACCGTGAACAACGTAAGATCCACTGTGAAGCTGTGTATGTCGTGCTTCGTCTTGGGCATGTCGTTCAAAAACTGGCACACGGCCTGCTTGCCTTGCTTCAAGAGCGCCACCCGCCTGTCCAGCGCCTCGACGCGCATGATATTCCTGTTATCGGTGTTGTACCAGTTCAGCCAGGCGGTGGTTTTGTTCTTGTCGTACCCGTACGGATACGACATGGTTAGGGATAGGGTGGCTTGGTCGTGGTACGCCTGCGCGAGCGGCTCGCGCGATTCCTGATCGTACAGTTGGTAGTACTGTTCGAGGAACTGACGCACTATGGTTTGGCCTTCGGCGTTGCACAGGAAGGTCTGCTTCGTTTCCGGGAACTTCATTTCGTCTTGGATGTCGAAGCTGATCGGGGGTGGAAGGTCGATTCCGTCCTAATTTTTTAGAAAATGCAATATTTTAAATGGTGTTTTTTCCATATTTTAATATGTTTTTTTAATATACATGTACATGTACTCTTTATATTTTTGTATATAAATAGTATAAATAATAAATTGATGATTTTCCATGAGTTTTGACGCATTTTTGTAAAATTTTCTATGGAAAACTTTTCTTTTCCATTAAAATGATAACCTAATGGTAACCTAAAGAATATCTAATTTTAAATGAAAAACCGTACATCTTCTAATATCCAGAATTTTGAAACATAATAATTTAAAATAGATAGCATCGGAAAAATAACATCCGGGATGGGTGATGGCAATGTTTCTTCCTAAAAAGGTAACCTAAAGAATATCTAATTTTCAATGAAAAACCGTAAATCTTCAAATATCCAGAATTTTGAGAATATAATACATTTAAAACAGATAGCATAGGAAAAATAACATCAGGAATGGATGATGGCAAATGTTTCTTCCTAAGAAGGTAACCTAAAGAATATATAATTTTTAATTAAAAACCGTAAATCTTCTAATATCCAGAATTTAGAAACATAATAATTTAAAATAGATAGCATAGGAAAAATAACATCCGGGAAGGGTGATGGCAATGTTTCTTCCTAAGAAGGTAACCTAAAGAATATTTAATTTTCAATGAAAACCCCAAAATCTTCCAATATCAGAATTTTGAAAAAATAATACATTTAAAACAGATAGCATAGAAAAAATAACAATCAGGGATGGATGATGACAATGTTTCTTCCTAAAAAGGTAACCTAAAGAAAATCTAATTTTTAATGAAAAACTGTAAATCTTCTAATATCCAGAATTTTGAAAATATAATACTTTTAAAACAGATAGCATAGGAAAAATAAAATCAGGGATGGATGATGGCAATGTTTCTTCCTAAAAAGGTAACCCAAAGAATATCTAATTTTCAATGAAAAACCGTAAATCTTCTGATATCCAGAATTTTGAATGTATAATAGGTACATTTAAAACAGATAGCATAAGAAAAATAACATCAGGGATGGATGATGGCAATGTTTCTCCCTTAGAAGGTAACCTTAAGAATATCTAATTTTCAATGAAAAACCCTAAATCTTCTAATATCCAGAATTTTGAAAATATAATACATTTAAAATAGATAGCATAGGAAAAATAACATCAGGTTGGATGATGGAAATGTTTCTTCCTAGGAACGTAACCCAAATAATATCTTATTATCAATTAAATCTTCTAGTATCCTTTGGAAAATTTAATACATTCAAAATGGATAGCGCATACAAAATTTTAACAAAATGTAACTTACCAGCTTTATGCATTTGGGGAACCTCTTTCTAACCTCGCTGTAGACAGAAAAAGCAGATTCGAAGCCGAAACGGCCCCAGATTAGACAACACACATTTTTCTCTCGAGCCTCGCTCACCTGAGAACAGTCTCAACAAAAAAAACAAACAAAAAATCGACCAAATTTCAGTTTCACAACGATACAAAATTTATAAATATGCGTTTGAACAGAAAATTTGGTCTATTTTAGCGATAGGCGGTGGGTGTATATTATTAAATTTCCTTAAGTTTTATTGGAAGGTTTTTTAAATCATGAATAGTTTAGGGTCAAAATTGTTCTGCTGACACCCACCACCTACCTTTTTTGCATTTTTTAATGTTTACATTAGTATTCAAATATGAATCAATATCGTTTTCTTATACTTTACGAAACACGCATTTTACTTTAAATACTTTATTATTTTGTTCTCTTAAATTGTTGTATGAAAATAGAAAAGATAAAACTGATCATTTTTCAAGTCAAATTGCAAATAAACAACAGCAATTTTATCTAGTAATGTATTATACACATTTTTATTGTTTTTTTTACTTGTACAATTTTAAAGGATGTCACACAATATTTTTTTTAACATTTGATGAGAAATATATTTTTTCCACAGGTCCCCCACATGTAACACAAAGTTCAAAACCTTAATAGAGACTACTTTAAAAAAACGCCAGGTTTTTTATTTTCGTCGTCTAATCGGTTGTTTTTTTTATTTTTTTTTTGTTTCTTCTTATCTTCATTGGTATCAAGTCAAAGAGCAAAATTTTGCATGCTTCTAAGACCGTTATTTTAATCTTCTGGTTCTTCTTTCTTGTGGGGGGGTTTTGTTTGACTGTTGATATATTTTCTCAAAAAATATTTGTTTTTGCTAAATTGCGACATTCACTCAACTTAAAATCATACAATGCGTTCATTTTGTACTGTGCATTTTATTAGATACCAGATAAAATATGATAAAATGTATTTATGAATGAATACATCAGTTTTATTTTAAATTATTTCCACCAAATTATCATCTTATCGATATTACTAAGAAAAAGCATTGTATAGTAAAATGCATATTTTTCTTTATATTATACTATCAACAAAACACTCGAACATGATTCGTATTTAAAATATTTTTTAAAAACTATTATTAACATTTTTTAACCATTTTTGACATTTAATTTTTTTTTAATTTTCCATTTCTGCATTTTAAAATTAAACTTCTTTCGTAATTATTAAGGAAGAAGTTTAATTTTAAAATGCAGAAATGGAGCAATATTTTCATAAAAAAACAATGTTAATGTCAAAAATGGTTTTGTAAACCTGATAATTACAAAAGAAGTTTAATTTCAAAATGTTTTAAAATGTCAAAAATAGTTAAAATTGTCACCAATCGTCAAAATGTCTAAAATTGGTTAAAATGGTAAAAATTTCAAAAATGGTTTTAAATCTAAAAAAGTATTTTGTAAACCTCATATAATGATTTTTTAAACTATTATTGATATTTTTAACCATTTTTGACATTTTAACATGTTTATTTTTTATAAAAAAATGTTCCATTTCTGTATTTTGGTAATTATTAAGAAAGTAATTTTAAAACGCAGAAATGGAGCAATATTTTTATAAAAAACCAATGTTAATGGCAAAAATGGTCAAAAATGGTTTTGTAAACCTGATTACAAGTTTAATTTTAAAATGCAAAAATGAAATAATATTTTTACAAAAAAAAACAATTTTAAGGTCAATTGTTTAAAATGGTCAAAATGTCAAAAATGGTCAATTTAAAGAATTAAATGTTGTTAAAAATGTGAAAACGTTTGAAAATGTTTAAAATTGTCAAAAACGGTAAAAATGTTCAAAAATGTTAAGAATGGTTAAAATGGTCAAAATGTCACACATGGTCAATATGGCCGCCTAAACTGGTTAAACCGTCAAAAAATTGTCAAAATCTCCAAAACACTTGAACATGATTCGTATTTAATAGATTTTCAATGTTTTCGTTTCACGTGTAAATAAAACAACTTCATGGGATTAAAAAACCCAAAAACAGTACCTTATGTATGTTGTTCTCTCCTTGAACTTTTCGCAGACCGGATTTCCGTCCAAAACCAACTCAACAATCGGTAGACCAACGAGAGGGTCCAGTTGAGTGATGTCTCGAATCTTTAAAACGAACAGAACCGCGTTTTAGAACCGTAGAACACATTTTTAGAGCCTCACTTACCTTGTTGTCCTTCATGTGCAGAATCGAAAGGCTCGTCAGAGTTTTGACGACTTTTTTCATGAAGGAAATGATGCAAATGTTGTTCTTGTCCAGGTTGAGCGCTTCCAGCTGCGGAATGTTTTCAACTATGATGTCCAGCACGTTGTTGAAAACGATGGGTTTGAAAAGGGCGCAAAACATGTCCTGTAAGTCCGGGTCTGCGTGGAATTGGGTCAGATTTAACGACTTTAGGTTTGCGTCGTATCTAAAAAAAGTTTTTCTCTTTGTAAGAAAAAACAATCTCCTTATTTTTTGCACATGACAAAGTCAAAAATGGTTAAAATTTGTCATTGTTTAAAATGGTAAATGTCAAAAACGGTTAAAAATGTCAAAAATGGTTTGGTCAAACCAGTAAAATAATGAAAGTTTAATTTTAAAATAGATAAATTGAATATCATTTATACAAAAACCATGTTAAAAAAGTTTAATTTTAAAATGGAAATGGTTTTAAATTGTCAAAAATAGTCAAAACGATTAATATTATTTATAAAAAAACAAATATTAATGTCAAAAATGGTTAAAATGCCAAAAATGGTTTTAAAAATTTCATGAAATGGTTTTGCGGATGTATAAATTTTTTTAACCGTTTTTGACATTTTGGCTATTTTTTACATTAACATTGGTTTTTTATAAAAATATTTTTCCATTTCTGCATTCCAAATTTTTAAGAAAGAAGTCTAATTTTAAAATGCAGAAAAGAAATATTTTCTTTTTAAAGAAATGTTAATGTCAAAAACGGTTAAAAACGTCAAAAAATGGTAAAGAACGATCAAAATGTAAAAAACCGGTAAAAACATCAAAAAATAAACTATAGATGGCAGATGCTCGAGCGCTTTGCAAAGCGCTCATAAGTTCTCATAAACATACGAATAAATAAATAAATTTTATAAAAAAAAAATTGAAAAAAAAAATTCCAACAAAATTGGAATTGGATAAACCTGCACCACTTTTGTGACCTGCACATGTTCTGATGTAAACAGTAGTTAGGGGTAATCCATTAATTACGTGATGCTATTTTGGCGATTTTTCGACTCCCCCCCTCCCCTTGGTGAGATGTCGTGAGATTTTGCTCGACCCCCTCCCTCCTCCCCTAATCTCACGTAAGATGTTTTAAAATGCATGGTTTTAATGTAAATAAGTTAATCTGTGATTGATTCCATTAGATTTATTAAAAAAAAATAATTGTTATAATTGTTTACTTAATTTAACCCAGTTTTCTCGCCATTTTACACTGTTTCATTTGAAAAGAAAAAATTACGTGATATTTGCCAAGACCACCCTCCCCCCACGTGAGATTGGGTGAGGTTTGGCTCGCCCCCTCCCCCCCCTTAACACCTCACGTAATTAATGGATGCCCCCTTATTTGTTGGTTAATTCATAACCCCACTTTTTAGTTTTGGCGCCAAATTTAAATATTGAGCACTTTGGTAAATGCTCGAGCATTTATTTATAAGCATGAGCATTTATGAGCACTTATTAGCGCTTTTGATAGTGCTCATCCTTTTCTATTAATAACATTTAAAAACGTCAAAAATGCTTAAAAATGGTCAAAATGCTTTGTCTAAAATGGTCAAAAACTGTTAGAGACGTCCAAACTGACTTAAATGAAACAAAATGTCTAAAATTGTCAAAAATGGTTAAAAAATTCAAAAATACTTAAAATTGTCAAAAACGGTTAAAAATGTCATAAATAATCAAAATGTCAAACCACGGTAAAAACGTCAAAAATTGCTAAAATGTCATAAATCGTCAAAATGTCTAAAACTGTTAGAAATGGTTAAAAATGATAAAATTTCAAAAATGGTCATTATCTTTTTTATAAAAAAAATATGTTAATATTAAGAAAGAAGTTTAATTTTAAAATGCAGAAATTGAAAAATATTTTTATAAAAAAAACAATGTTTATGTCAAAAAAAGGTCAAAAATGGTTTTTTAAACTAGATTACAAATTACAAAAGAAGTTAATTTTAAAATGAAATAATATTTTAATAAAACACAATTTTAATATCAAAAATGGTCAAAATGTCTAAAATTGTCAAAAATGGTCAAAAAGGTTAAGAATGGTTAAAATGGTCACAATGTCACACATGGTTAAAAACGTCAAAAAAATGGTCAAAATCGCCGAAAACCTTCAAAAATGGTCAAAATGCAAAAAATGTCAAAACAAAAAACTACTTTCTTACCTTTTGCCCATGACAAGTTTCATTTTTTCCTTCATCTCCGGCGTTACATCGACGTTGGGCGAACTAGGTTGTACCCGTACAAATAATTTAAACCCATTTGGAAGTTGAACTTGTCTGTCCAAACTTAATATTTTTTCGGCGGTTTTGTAACCCTCCACAAAAAATACGACGTTTAAGCCCATTACCTGCCACTGGACAAAAAAAGTAATCAGCACTATTTCGCGTAAAACTGCGGGGAATTACCTGTATTGGCACAAACGGCAAGGGGTTCAGGTTATCCAAAAACATTTTCTGCAGGTACGCCTTCTCGTATTTCTCCCCATGCGCAACCGAAACCCTGTACCAGTTGGTAGCGCCCTCCATGAGCCTCTTCTTGGCAAGGGGGGCAGGGGACCCGCCCCTCTTGCCTTTCTTACCCCCTCTACCGTTAAACTTGTTGAACCTGTTGTTCCTGTAGTTCCCGCTGCTGCCCCCCATGTCGATGTCCTCCTCCTCCAAGTGCCATTTTATCGTCTCCCCCCAATCCTTGTTTCTCGGGTGGTCGGATTTGCCCCCGTGCCGGCCCTGCTTGAAACTCACCCTGCGCGTGTCTTTTGCGGCGTAGTTGAACTCGCGCGGGGCTAAGAAAATGTTAAAAATTGCATTTTGTTTCTTGTAAATCAAATTTCGACATTATTTAAGTCGACGTGTTTTTAGGTAATTTTTGGAGACCTAGTTCCTAATCCTACATTCAATACAGCCCTACAACGCTAAAATACAGTAGTTACTTTAATTGCGTTGCAGGACAGAATAAACTAGACATTAAATTGGAAAAAAGTGAGGTTAAAACTCTCTGAAAAATGTCAGATTAGTAAAAAGTGAGGCTAAAATCGCTTGACAGTTGTCAAATGTCATATAAAATGTCAAATAAAATATTACCTAATAAAATACTGAAATTTATAGTAAAGATTTTTTTTAATATTTCCCGATTATAATAATCATAATATAAAGTAATAAAACGCAATGAAGGTCAGTTCTAGATAAAATATACGAACAAATTCCCGACATTACAAACAAATTACGTCGTAATTTAAGTATGCATCAAATTTCACCCAAAGGCCAAAAAAACCAACCCTTTATCGTGTCAAAACTATAAATAACATAAAATCCCTCTAAATCAACCTAAAACGTTCATAAAATGAGCAAAAATGCTCTCAAAATTCCCCTCAAACATGCGTTTATTGAGTACCTACCTTCATATTGATTTTTCCACGACGGTTTCTGGCCTGGTTTCGGCATTTTTCACTCGACCAATTTATCGAACACCTTCCTTACACTTTAATCTAACAATTTAAGGTTTTAACAAAATTAAACGTGCGATTTTTCGCCCCAAAAACCAAAGTAAACACGAACTTTCCCCAACAATGGCAGTGACGTTAATCTGCAGTTGTACCAACGGAAAACATGGCCGCCAACGTTGCGAAGCAACGGGAATTTGGCAGTTGTATCTAAAATAGCCTTGTTCCAACCGCAAAAATATTTATATTTTTTTTCATTAAAAAAATAGGGAATCGGTGAAAATTAAAGGTAAAATAAAATATTAGAATAATTTTTATTTAAAGAACATAAAGCATTAGGTATCTAAAAAATAAAAAAGTAACAAATACAATATGCAAGAAAGTGCTTCAAAATTTTATTTAATTATGTATGGGAAGCACAAAATGTAATTCACTCTATGTACAATATTTGACTTTAAACTTTTTTTATACATAATCATGAGTTTTCACTACTCAACGTTATAATTACTTAATTTTTAAAACCATGTTTCATTTTAAACAAAAAAGTTATAATAATAAAAACGGTGCTGGGCAATGTTGTGCTAGTAAAAAAATAAATAATAATAATAATAGGAAAAATGATTGTACGGTTTGTTACGTTAAAAAGTGACTTGGTTAAAATGAAACATTTCATTATTTAAACCAGTTTATTTTATTATTATTTGAAAACTCCATAAAATCACCAAGAAAAGCTCAATCTCTTCTCACGAACGTCCGTCCCCTGCAAAAAGTTAGGTTATGAGATTTGACGTTTTTAACGGCAACACCGCTCGAAGATTGATAATTTACGTACGTAATAGTCTTCTTGTCAGTGGATTTGTTCTCTGGGCGGGCTCGGTTGAGAACCTTGAGGAACTCCGAGGTTTTTGCCCTCATTCGGCTGTGAATGTAGGCTTTCGAACACTTGATGTGGTAATGCAAATAATGCCTGAAAAAACACACGTTTAGAGAAAATCCGACAACGCTGCCTCGAGACGGCTACCTAAATGTGTGTATCAAGTTGATCGTGTTGTCCCTGGTGTTGTGCGCGGTGTGCCTGGGAAACAAAACGAACGTGACGTAGCCGACATTGTTGTCGACTTTGGCGTCGGTGTTGGCTAGTTCGCGCGGCGGCTCCCTGTGGCTAAAAAGCACAGGGGGCGCTGTATGCGAAGCTCTTAGACCCTCCTTAAGCTCCTGCATGAATACTTTGCCTATCACCACATCGTCTTCATCTCTGAAAGGATGACGTATATCTCTTAAAATATTTTTTGTAGGAGACTAAATTACCTACAAAAATGTTACCGAGTTTTTTCTCTAAAGTCAACCGTTTACAAGTTAGAGTCAAAGAAACAATAATTTAAATTATATTTTTATATAATATATTATGTTATGGCTAATGTGCAAACTTGGATAGTTTATAAACTAGCTGGATAGTTTATAAACTAGCCAAACTGTTGAAACTCGATTGTTTTAATTCACCGAGAACATCCTTTATATCATTGTTAATCCAATTGTTAGTTTATGACTTTGATAGATGTATAATTTAATTTAAAAAGAATAAAGTTCAGTTAATTAGAAATCCTTATATTATTGAAGAAACGATCCCATCGGTGTGTATTTAAGTTGATCTGCAATACAAACTGTCAGCTATTTTAATTGAAAACATATTTTCAACTAAATTAGCGGCTAGTTTACAAAATAACCAAGGATCTTGGCTAATTTACTTGAAATTATTAGGATAACTAAAATAGCTGGATAGTTTGTATTCTATCCAATTCAGTTTGGCTAATATGAAAACCAAAATTTCTAGTAACACAAAATAGCCAAGCTTTAGCTAGTTTGTAAACTAACCAACCAATTCTCTGGCTAATTTATTAAAAAGGTGAGGTTGGGTTGGGTTGGGTTGGCATTGTTTTTCGTTTTGCCGGCTTAACCGGATTTGTTTTGTGCATTTTAACGTTTTTTAAATGAATCATAGGCAAAATTTTAACGCTTCCTTGTTAGAAAACTCTACAACACAACCCTACCGACCCCGCCCCATTCATTCATATTAGCCAAATTGAATTGGATAGTATACAAACTATCCAGCTATTTTAGTTTCCCTAATAATTTCAAGTAAATTAGCCAAGATCCTTGGTTATTTTGTAAACTAGCCGCTAATTTAGTTGAAAATACATTTTCAATTAAAATAGCTGACAGTTTGGCTAGTTTATAAACTATCCAGCTAGTTTATAAACTATCCAAGTTTGCACATTAGCCGTAACATATATACATTTTTAAATTTTGATGACTTTATTTCACATATCTTCTAAATTATTAATTTTAGAGATTCGACTTATAGGTATAACCTTTTTTGTAGGAGTAAATTACCTATAAAAAATGTTATTGACTTTTTTCTCTAAAGTCAACCGTTTACAAGTTTGATTTGAAGAAACATTAATATAAATTTTATTTTTGAATATAAATTTTTAAATTTTGATGACTAAGTTTACATATCTCCTTAAATATTAATTTTAGAGATTCGACTTATATGACCTTTTTTGTAGGAAACTAAATTACCTATAAAAAAATATATTGACTTTTTTCTCTTACAAATTTGAGTCAAAGAAACATTAGAATAAATTTTTTATATTTTAATTTTAAATTTTGATGACTAAGTTATATCTCCTTAAATATTAATTTTTGAGATTCGACCTATATGACCTTTTTTGTAGTCTCACAAAAAATGTTTTCGACTTTTTTCTCTAAAGTCAACCGTTTATAAATTTTAATTTTACATATAAATTTTTAAATTTTGATGAGTAAGTTTACATATCGCTCATTCGAAACAACAATGACACAACTCAAAAATCACAGTTTTTGAGAAAACGCATTTTAAATTTCTTATTACTGTTTTCCATTTACCAAGCCCTGTAAATACCTATAAAAGCTAGACTCAAATATTTTGTTGTTAAGGCATACTATCTAATAAACAGTAATAAAAAATTTAAAATGCGTTTTCTTAAAAACTGTGATTTTGAGTTGTATCATTGTTGTTTCGAATGAGTGATATCTCCTTAAATATTAATTTCTTATCTTCTAAATTATTAATTTTAGAGATTCGACTTATATAACCTTTTTTGTAGGAGTAAATTACCTTTACAAGTTTGATTTGAAGAAACATTAATATAAATTTTATTTTTATATATAAATTTTTAAATTTTGATGACTTTATTTCACATATCTTCTAAATTATTAATTTTAGAGATTCGACTTATATAACCTTTTTTGTAGGAGACTAAATTACTTATAGTATAGTATATAAGTCAACCGTTTATAAATTTGAGTATATGAGTATGAGTATGAGTATAAGAGACGTATAACCAGCCCCATTTCCTCTTGACTCTCGAACCCCGTACAGGCCTATGGGGCGATTCCGCGGGAGACGATTTTTGACATTAATTTTTAAATCACAGTATTTGTTACTTTTTTTTATACCAATACAAAGAGAAAGATATAAATTTAATAATAAAAAAACTTTGAAGAACTTAAGTTATTATTTGAATATTTGGCGCGCTCAGAAATGGTGGCGCCCGAAGACTTGATGCAAACCATTCATCGACACTTCATAATTTTTCCACGAAATCGCTATTACCGGTGGTTTGAGGTTATATTTCACTGATGAATAATGAAGTCATAACATTTGTTTATTGCCTTATATAAAAAAATTAAATATTTATTATTATTTTTCTAACAATATTGATTAAATAAGAAACCATTGTTGGTCAGTTGCACCCGCGATATAAAAAAAATGAAAGTTTGGTTTTCTTGAAGAAATAAATTGGTAATTTTTTGAAACTTTGTAGAAGTAAGAAGAAATAAAAGGAAAACTTGATTCAGTCGCAATAGAAGGTATATTGCCATTTTAATTAAAATTAACGTTGACTAAAATGAGTTGCACCCGCGATCAAAATATAAGAATCGCGGGTGCAACACTTATGACTCTTACGATTACATTAGGGAATTTTTAGCGAGTTACCGGTAATAAAAAGTTAAAACCATTTTATTTTAGCGAGTAACCGGTAACTGCATGAAATGTCAAATCAGTAACCGCGGTTAAGAGTTGAGTAGTGTTACTGGTAGCGGTAAATATTCTTCTCTTTTTAATGCAAGTTTTTTGTTTATTTTTACTATGTTTGACAGTTCTCGATATCGAGCTTTTGAGTTTAGCTAATTTTACCGGGTTTTTGGGTTGAACCAACGGTTCAGTTAATTTTAAAATTAAAAATGATTGAAATTCGAATGGTAAATATAAGCCTTAATCATCAGGGAAGGGATATAAATTTAGAAGTAGATGAGGAAACGGCGAATGTATTGTTAAATGGTAGGTAAAAATTTTCATTTTTTACTAGATACAAATTTATTTATTTTGTATATTTTTTATAATTTTTGCTATATAATTCTTTTATATCCATTTTTGCTATATAATTCTTTTATATCCATTAAATTTCATAAAATAGCAAACTAAACTAAAGGTAAACAAGATTTAAGGTTATGTCGAACTTTTTGACATTTATGTCAAATTAGTTTTGACAACTGCTACTAAAAAAAAACGTATAAAAGTTACAAAAAAAGTAACGCAAAAGTTACGCGTTTCTTATGTTTACAGCAATTCTGAAGATGAACCTTAAGGCTGATAAATCGCAGACTATTCCAAACAAATAATTTATTTAAGTTACATAGGAAAGTGCTAATTAGTGATACAGCATCTATGGTCTCATATCTTTAATTTAAAGTTACATGGAAATGTTTATATTCACTACAGTGAGACGAGTTGCACCCGCGACTGGATAAAAAGTGAATAATTTATAATATTTATTTATTTTAATAATTTTATTTAAGTTAATAATTAAGTTATTTTATACTCTTTTAAATAATGTAAAAATAATTTAGTAAATATTCCATAATTAACAGACTTTTTTCATTCTAGCTTCAGGAACTTTAATGGTGGGCCGATTTCGTTGCACCCGCGATAGCACTTTGAACCTCTCCTGTGTCTATTTATACATTTTATTAAATGTTTTTTATATTAATTTTTGTAAAACAGATTACAATGTAATCCTGCGACTAGTCATTTCTTTAAAAGGAGTTTTTATTTTCTTAGTAAGAAGCGTTGAGTGAGTCTAAATGTTGCACCCGCGAGTACGGAATCGCCCTATGTTTACTTACGCCGATTTTTGTTCTTCCCCAGCAACTGCACGGCTTCACCCGTGTTTGCTGGGTGCGAATGTCCATTGCGTTCCGTACTGTCCCCTATTTGGGGCTCGAGAGCGAGAGGCGAATAGTTTTAATAGCCATTCCCGGTTTCGCCGAGCCTATGCTATACGCTCAGTGGGGTATGGAGGAGGGACGGGAGGGTGTTGGTTTTTGGGGGACGTACGACGCGGAATCCCCTTAGACCAGTCGATTAGTATTACTCCAAACATTTGGGATTACTATTTGGAGTTGGGGAGTTGTTATTTCGCTGCAGGGGTGTAGTTTCCTAGTCGAGGTCTTTGTCTTGTTCGTTATTGTCATTGTCCGTGTCCTGGTCAGATAGTTCCTGCACTTGGTAAAGTGTGTCAGTTGTTTTTAATAAATTTTGTCCCAAGCACGTTTTGTGATAGAGTTTTGTCTTTTTTTTATTAAATTCCAAAATTAAGCATTGCATTCATTTATTAGTTAAACAAATTACAAGCGCGATTATTCTGTTGTCTAATGTTTACAAATCTCGAGTTTGGCTATTAGGCTTTTTTTTAATGTGTTAGAATTATGATTAATGTGCTAGTTTATTCTGTGAGTCTAGTGTTTATTTTCGGTCTCGATTGGGATTGCCTTACGCATTTGTTGTTGACAGATTTATTGCCCCATGCCGTGTGCCTTTCATAGGTTTTAAAGATATCCCAATAAACATTTTAACGGTACCTATCACCATCAACATTGCCCGTGTAAGAATTTTTAATACTTTTCAATACAATTTTGCAATGATAGTAATTAAAAACAAAACAATTGTTTAAAGAGTAAAATATGTTCTTAACATAATCATATTAAAGTTATTTTAACATTTTCAAGTAAAAATAAATATTATGTTTAATATAATGAATAACGGGCAATGTTAATGGTGACAAATAACGGAAAATGTTTGCTGGGATCTGCCGTATTTAAATTGCAGATTTGTATCAGGTCATGCATATTCTTAAAGTAACTTATCAGCTTTTTTTGCGGATGGCCACCTCCCCTCTTGTTTGACCTCCCCTGTCTGTCCAGTGAAAAGCCTCCAATGACAGGTGGCACTTAACTCATTCATATCACTCAACACTTCACTCCTCAATGACCGTTACACCATTTTAGTTTGCACTCTATGAAAATGTTTGTTTCACTTATTAGTTTGCACTTTTTTTATAATTATTGTTGGTTTTATCTTTAAACTTTTACGTTTCAAGAGCTTTCCCGCACGCGACGTGTCTTCTCAAGCGCTGGAACCGAACTGTTAGTCAACCGTTTATAAATTTGAGTCGAAAAAACATTAATAAAAATTTTACTTTTACATATAAATTTTTAAATTTTGATGACCAAGTTTACATATCTCCTTAAATATTAATTTTAGAATTTGGACTTATATGACCTTTTTTGTAGGAAACTAAATTACCTACAAAAATTGTTATATTTTTTTTTTCTCTAAAGTCAACCGTTTACACGTTAACAGCAGGACAAGATTTCAAGGGGAAATGAAAAAACATCTTCGCTTCGAACGGAGCGCTCTGATACTTACCTAAACCTTGTGGAAAACACGACAGTAACCCTGTCGGCCTTGGCTTCAACATAGAGGGTTTCGTCGTCCCTGTAATGGATGACGGCCCTTTTTTGGCCCTCATCCCCCTTTTCCTGGAAGTCAAAGTACTTTTCGAACACGGAGGCGAAACAATTTCGCTTGAGGAGCCCGATTTTTTTCACCACCTCCTCCCAGTTCTGGGGGATGGTCTCCAAGTCGACCAGAACAGAAACGTTGTAACCGTCCTCGTTCGCGATCAAATACTGGCCGTATTCGCGTTTGAGGAGCTCGTCCGCGCCGTACTGTTGCAGTTCTTTGTAGAATTTTAAGGAGATGGATATCTAGGCAACAATTAATAAATTAATTTAATTGCCGAGGCAAAATTTAAGCAAAACCTTGAAAATTCGTTTTAGCTTAAATTGACCCTTATAATGTGTATGCTTAGGGCAGTTATATTATATACATGTATGTACAGGGTGACCCAAAGGGTAAAGAAAAAATCCTCTTGAAATTTCAGGACGAATTTTCCATTATCGAATTTAGGAGTTATTTAACTTTTAAAGCCACCAATGAGATCCAGTATTACCTATTTGTAATCTGGGTTGCCTACCTACATTCGAACAAACATGGCAGGTTTAAAAGTCAAATAACTCCTACAATTTTGTAGTTAAATAAAGTAGATTTCCTACTTGAATATTTATTTTATTTAAGATATACAGGGTGATACAGTTTGTATGTCCAAAAATAAAGTTATGTAGTTTGTAAAATAAACTATGGTAAACAGGTTTATTTAGGTTTTCCTTAACATCTTTTAAGATATAAAAAATAAATCATCCAAGTACCAAATTTAAATTATTATCTATTCTAGTTCATAATGCGTTAATTTTTACCAATTCGACATCTGTCAGACGGGTTTAACCTCACTTTTTTCCAATCCGCTGTCAGATTTTGAAAAAGCGAGGTTAAACCCGTCTGTCAGATGTCAGATTTGTAAAGGGTGAGTTGTCAGCTGTCAGATAAAATGTCAAATAAAATTCTGAAAAAACATAACTTTGCATTCATCGTAGATAAAGTATGGAATGCAATTTGTTTTATAAACTTCACTCATTTAATCATTTAAAGGTAAATTAGGAAGAATTTTCAAATTTTATGCATGAATTTGCCTAACAAAAACATATTTACCCTTATTTTTGATTTGTCTCCATTAGGATTAGAAATGTGGTACAAAACACCATCAAAATCCGCTACTGTGACATCTATACTTTCGTTTTTTTGCCTAAAACACATATATTTTGAAAAATAAAGATTTACAGTGACTAGTAACAAGGGTCATGTCCTGTTCCAATTATTGAATAAATAGGGCACATAAAATGAAATAAATTCGATTTAAATCAGATACAAACCAACTCTATTTACATTACAGGAAACATACGTTATCTCTATGAATAGCCTCACCCACAAAATTTTGATTCATCGCTCTTTCCAAAGTAACGCTGAAAAAACCGCAATATATGAAACTCACCCATTAAGTGCGTTCTTAATTTTGATCGTCAACGTTTCTTCGACGACCCTGTTGTTTATTTCCAGCAGAATCATTTTAACTACTTAACTAATAAACTTTTTATTTACAAAACCACTATTATACTAAAGCAAACGATGCCAAAACATGGGAGGTGCAATTTGACTGTCAAAAATCGAATGACAAATGAACATTACCACCAACCACAAAAAAATAAGTCCCTAGAATAGGATACAAATAATTCGTATATCGCCCAAAACATAATACAATTAAGTTTTTATTGTATTTAATACAACAAATTTATTAAACTTACCTTATAATTGTTCTACTTTTTAGTGAACTTTCTCTAAATGACACATGTTTTTGTATGCAACCAAAAACACAAATGTTAGGTTGGCAAAACTTTAATATGACGTTAATTATTTGACAGTCGTTTAAATTTTTATTATTTCACGTTATACATTAAAATGTAATACAAAAGCAACAAAAAATCATACATTACGAAATACTTCATCACATACACCAAAAACAACAGGTAATTAAAACCTATAATTCAATATAATCGATGAAAACCAACACCTAACCTAAAAATTGTCTACAATTTTAGCCAAAATGTTGCGTAAAATACTGAACAGCGTGATAGAAAACAGCCTGCAACCCATAGAGTCGACACTGTACCCGTCCGCATTTAATTTGAAGGAAACCTCGCATTTTAGTTGGCTTTTAAACTATGCCCCATGTTTTCCGATAAGTACACAAAATATTAGGATTATTACAGAACCGAAGCAATTTTACGATGCTATAATTGATAATTGCAAGAATGCCAAGAAGAGAATAACTTTGGTTAGTTTGTATTTAGGGAACGGGAAGTTAGAGAAAGAGATTGTTGATACAGTAAGGAATAATACGAGTTTTAAGGTATGTAGATCATCTATTGCATAAATTGGTGCTGTATTTTCATTGTTTACAAATTTACCGGATAGATTTATAAATAAGTTCTTAAAAGCAAATTTTTTATATTTTTAGGAAAATAAGTTGGAAGTCAACGTTTTGTTAGATTATACTAGGGGAAGTAGGTTTCAAAATAATTCCAGAAAGATGTTACAGCCTTTGTTACAAGACAACACAAATTGTAACATATCTTTGTACCATACACCTGTTTTAAGAGGTGTTTACAAAAAATTGACGCCAAATCGTTGGAATGAGTTGTATGGCTTGCAACATATGAAAATGTATATTTTTGATGATACTTTAATTATTAGTGGAGCGAATTTATCAAATGATTACTTTACTAATCGTCAGGATCGTTATTTTATGATTCAAGACAAAGGTTTAAGTGATTTTTACTGTGGTTTAGTAAATAGAGTTCAAAAATTTAGCCTACAAATGGACAAAAATGATAAATTAACTCTTAGCAATGATTGGCAGTATTCCCCTTATGAAGGAAGCAAATATAAGTTCATCAAAAAGTCAGGAGATTTGATAGAGCAGTATTTGATTGATTCAAAAAATGAACAAAATACGCATAAAAATAAAGGTCATGGTAAGTACAATTTATAAACAGAAGAGGACAAAAATTTCTCAAAACCTTTTAGACACTTGGGTGTTTCCACTGGTTCAAATGGGACAACTGGGCATAGAACAAGATTCCCAAGTGACTGAAAAAATACTTGCTGAAACGCCTGAAGGCAGCAGGCTGAATATAGCTTCAGGTTACTTTAATTTGACTAGTCAATACATGGAAACTTTGATCAATTCTTCCAGAGGGACTTGCAGTATTCTTATGGCCCACCCAGAGGTACTGAAGTTGAGAAATACAGTTAACAGTGTTTCACGATTCTGTAATATTTATTCATTTAGGCGAACGGTTTTTTGGGGGCGAAAGGAGCCGCTGGAGGTATTCCGTATGCATATTCTTTAATAGCTTACAAATTCAAGAAAAAATGCATAAAATATGGACAAAATAAGAGACTCATACTGTTGGAATATTTTAAAAAAGGTTGGACATACCATGCCAAAGGACTATGGTAAGAAAAAACAATTATTTAATTTACAGGTTGGTCCAAAATATCAATTTTTGGTAATTTTAACAATTTAGTAAGTTTTAAGATAAATTTGCTTACTTTTAGGAACTTTTAGCAAATTTTTCAGTGATTTTTTGGTAATTTTAACTATTTATGGTTTCAATGTCTTTTGAAATAAATTAAGAAAATAATTTGTTGTTTTTGAATTTTTTGCAACTGTAAAGTAATTTTTCCAAAAAACTATTTACCTGTCTATTTTACTTTGAATTTTCAAGTATTTAGTATGTTTTAAGACAAATTTGAAACATTTTATTATGTTATGAAACTCTTTAATTAAATTTTTAAGAAATTTTAACTACCTATTTAGTTACTGTTAATGTCATTTAAGATATAACAAGAAAAATATTTGTTATTTTAAAAAAATTTGGTAATTTTTTGGTAATTCTAAAGGCCGTATTACAGCCGGCAATTCTTCTTGCAGCAATTATTCTTGCCATCAAGTTTTCAAGGCCGTATTGCATGTTGTTTTACAGCATAGATAATAAATCATGTTTTAAGGCCGTATTACAGCCGGCAATTCTTTCGGCAATTGCAATGAAACTTGCCATAGGCATGCGCGGTTGAGACCTTTCGACGAATCTCTTGCAATTGCCGAAAATCGGTCCGGATGGATTTTTATTGCCGTTTTATGGCAATTCTGGGGTGAAATCTGGTAACTTTTATGTTACCAACCCTACTACAAATTCCCTAGAGAGACGCTGTTTGACTTAAACAGTTTAAGGTTATTTGTTTTATGATTGGCATTGTGTTCAATGTTCTAGAATCCATTTCACTCATTAATTTTTAAATATCTCTACTATATAACAAATAAACTTAGTGTTTACAAAATCGTATATTTTTCTTCGGTTGGTAGCACGGTAATAAACAGCAAGTTTTCTTGCCATTGCCGGCTGTAAAACAACATGCAAGACGGCCTTGAAAACTAGATGGCAAGAAAAATTGCTGCAAGAAAAATTGCTGCAAGAAGAATTGCCGGCTGTAATACGGCTTTTACAGTCAGCAATGGCAAGACAACTTGCTGTTTATTACCGTGCTACCAACCGAAGAAAAGTATACGATTTTGTAAACACTAAGTTTATTTGTTATTTAGTAGAGATATTTAAAAATTAATGAGTAAAATGGATACTAGAACTTTGAACACAATCCCAATCATAAAAAAATAACCTTAAACTGTTTAAGTCAAACAGCCTCTCTTTAGGGAATTTGTAGTAGGGTTGGTAACATAAAAGTTACCAGATTTCACCCCAGAATTGCCGTGAAACGGCAATAAAAATCCATCCGGACCGATTTTCGGCAATTGCAAGAGATTCGTCGAAAGGTCTCAACCGCGCATGCCTATGGCAATTTTCATTGCAATTGCCGAAAGAATTGCCGGCTGTAATACGGCCTTAAAGGCCGTATTACAGCCGGCAATTCTTCTTGCAGCAATTTTTCTTGTCATCAAGTTTTCAAGGCCGTATTGCATGTTGTTTTAGCAATGGCAAGACAACTTGCTGTTTATTACCGTGCTACCAACCGAAGAAAAATATAAGATTTTGTAAACACTTTGTTATTTAGTAGAGATATTTAAAAATTAATGAGATAGTAGAGATATTTAAAAATTAATGAGTAAAATGGAACTTTGAACAAAATGCCAATCATAAAACAAATAACCTTAAACTGTTTAAGTCAAACAGCGTCTCTCTAGGGAATTTGTAGTAGGGTTGGTAACATAAAAGTTACCAGATTTCACCGCAGAATTGCCGTGGAACGGCAATAAAAATCCATCCGGACCGATTTTCGGCAATTGCAAGAGATTCGTCGAAATGTCTCTACCGCGCATGCCTACGCCAATTTTCATTGCAATTGCCAAAAGAATTGCAGAAAGAATTGCCGGCTGTAATAGGGCCTTAACTATTTAAAAAAATTTACATATTTTTGGAAATTGCATTGATTGTTAAATTTAAGGTAACTTTTGGTAATTTTATTAGTGTGTTTTAATATAAATTTTAAAAAAATGCTTATTTTACGAAATTCCTTTGTAATTATTTGATGATTACATTGTCATTGAAGATTAATCAAAAAAATAATTTTTTTATTAAGTTTTTTAAAAATTATGGAATTTTTAGGTAATTTTTTATTAATTTTAACTAATAAGTTATTTTTGAAAAATTTGGCATTTTTTAAGTAATTAGCTTATTTAAATTTTGTGTTTAAAGAAATTTGTTTTTTTTTAAATAATAATTTTTAAAGTATTTTTTGGTAATTTTCACTATTTAAAGACATGTTAAGAAACTGGGAAAATTTCTTTGTTAAATTAAAGACAATTTTAAAGTTATTATTTGGAAATTTTAACTTTTGAGATACGAGCCCTAACACAAAAATGTTCGGACACTTCATAATTTATACAGAAATATTTTTCGTGAATACTATCTCAAAATTATTAGAAGTTATGAAAAATTCAGCTCATTTTAGCATATACCCCTCGAAGCGATTTTTATTTTTAAAAAGTTTACCTTTTATTTTTAGCTTTTAAAAAAAGGCTAACTTTTAAACTTTTTTTTGTATGAGTAAAAAAAGTTATAAATGGACCCATTAAAAAGAGCATAAAATATTATACAAACCCTGAAAATTTGGTAGAAAATAAATTAGTTATAAAAAGTATAAGTAATTTAAAAATGCTATTTTTAAAGAGTTTTTGCAATTTTCTTAGGAAACGGGAGATTTTGCAGATATATATATCGTTATAACTTTCTTATTATTTATACAATTTTTACCAAATTTTCAGGGTTTGTATAATATTTTATGTTCTTTTTAATGGGCCCATTTATAACTTTTTTTTTTTACTCATACAAAAAAAGTTAAAAATTTAGCCTTTTCTTAAAAGCTAAAAATAAAAGGTAAACTTTTTAAAAATAAAAATTGCTTCGAGGGGTATATGCCAAAATAAGCTGAATTTTTCATAACTTCTAATAATTTTGAGATAGTATTCACGAAAAATATTTCTGTATACAGTTTTATTTTGACCTTGTTCGTGTACGCATCGTTAAAAAAATAAAACTAAATTTAATCGTGAAACTTAAACTCAAATAGTGTAAGGTGTCACATAATGGAAGTGGATGATGAAAATGCAGAGGGAGAATTTACCATACCGGCCTATAATAAGAAAAAACGTAAAAAAAATAACGACTCAGATACCACTGAATACACAGAAAACGAGATCGCCGAAATTATAGGAGTAAACAAAAACAAAAAGTATACAAAAACAACAAGTGATAAAAACGCTCGTACAAAAAACCAAGCATACCACACACAATCAGATTCAAACACAAGTTATAAAGCTACTCATACACGTCAAACAGCAGAAACAAACAACAATCCTACAACAAGTAACTCATCACTTTCACCGAAAATGCAAGCTATATTTAGAAAAACCTATGAAAACGTTTTCTATATAACTGCTCCAGACGAACTAACAAGAATCCAACTGGCGGACAGATGGGCAACCTACTTTAAAAACTCAAAGGAAATAATCTTAAAAACACAAAAAGGATTTATTATCAAATCAAACAATAACAAACAAAACACCTTAGCTACCCTTAAAATATTGAAAGATTGTGGTTTTATTAACACATACGAATTATCCAATAATACCCCACAACAAACAACTTCAAAAAAAATACATAACCAATCCTTCTCGGCAGTGATATCGAATGTTGACATAGATATTGAAGAAAAAGAAATAAGTGTTGTTTTAAAAGATAACGGAATCGAACACAGGTATTGTAAAAGAATAATCTCTAAAAAAACAAACAAACCCTCCTTATACATAAGAATAATTACAGGAGAGATTAAAGCATATGAAAAGATAATTAACGAAGGCATTTACTACAAATTTCGTTACTATCCAGCATACCCAAGTCATCCTCCTGAACCGCTACCAATACCATGTGCAAAGTGTTCCCAATTTTCCCATACAACTGAAAATTGTAACACAGAGGCAAAATGCTCGAAATGCGCCGGAAATCATAAAGATAGGGAATGCAAAACCAATTTACCCCCATCATGTACAGCTTGTAGGTCTACAGAGCATGTTGCTTGGTCAATTAAATGTCCAAAACGCCCCATGAAACCTATTGAAGGTATTCCAAACATTAAAATTCGTTCCTTAAACAAAACTACAAGTGAAATAGACAAGAAAATTACAAAAAATCATAAAATTCATTCGGCGGTGACAATTCATGATTATATTATCAATACGTACATAAAAAAAATAAATAAACCGACAAATACAGACAGGCAAGAACTAATTTCTAGATTGCAAAAACGTTTTATAGACGGTTTTAATATAAACACTGTGCCAACATTTGTGGGAAATCGCCTGTACATTTTGATGTTCGATTTAGATGAAGAAAACAGTCACTCCCCAACAGAACCCAATGATGGAATCCAAATTCATGTCAACAACAATTAAATTTATTTATTCAAACATCAACAGCTACATTACAAAAAAACATTTAATTAACCACTATATTGAACAAAATAATATTCAATGCAGCATGTTTGTAGAGACAAAAACAAACGAAGATCGTTCCATGCAATATAGGGATTGGACAACCATATATAAACATGGCAACATACTCAACAATAATACAAGAGGGGGTGCTTTGGTTCAAGGTGATCGCAGGCTTAAAATAGGTAAATCAAATCCTCCACACTTTAACAACCCCTACAATGATGTGTTACATTTTACTATTCCTTACAAAACCGACAAAATACACTTTTTTTTGGTTTACATGCACCATAGTAATAGATTAATAGAGGAAAATTTATTTACGAAAGCATCACAGTACAAATATGCAATTATCATAGGGGATTTTAATGTTACAAATAAAAGAAAAAAACAAATACAAAACTTTTTAAACAATTCAGATTTCACCCAAATCCACACCCCTCCTACTTTTTTAATGCCCAATAATAGTGACACTACTCCAGACATTTTGCTCTGTACAAAAAACATCATTAACAATATCACAGAAGTAGAACTAATACCTGATTTAGGATCCGATCATCTTGCCATTCAATTTAACTTTGATATAGGAAAAAATCCACAAACCATTCCAGAAAACATCAAATATAATTTTAAAAAAAGTAATATAGAAGCTATAAATAATGAAATCATCCAGACAATGAACCTACATGAGAATATTTCTCCTCAAACAATTGACTCCTTTCTAAAAAATATCACCAAAATTACTCTAAAACATACTCCTATTTTAAAAACAAGCTTCTTTGCACATACATTACCACCATTCATCATAAAACTAATTAAAATAAAGAAACAACTATATAGAGAGATAAAAATTAATTACGACCCTATACTTAAAAGAAAATACAACGAATTAAATAAGGATATACATACATTAATTCTACAATATAGGGCAGATAAATATCTAGAAGCATGCCAAAATATCAATGTAGCAAAGGGTCGGTCATACTGGGGTGAAATAAAGAAACTCTCTCGATATAAAAAATATAACCACATTCACTATATAAAAGAAGACAATAAAATCTTACAAACAGAGCAAGAAATTGCTGAGGCCTTTGCAAGACAATTTGAAAAAAATTTTAAGTTTACGGAAAATGTAAGTTTTGATGGAAATTATAAAAATAATACACATAACTGGGTAAGAGATAACTTTACTCAAAGAAACTTAAATGAAAATATAGAAAATGTAACTGAAGACGAATATTTCGAGAGTTTGAACGGGAAGAATACGGCACCAGGGCATGATCAAATTCCTAGATTGGTTTTAAAGCAATTTGACCAGGAAATCCATGACCAAATAATAAGAATTTATAACTTCTGTCTGCATAATAGTTATTTTCCGGAAGAATGGAAGAAAGGAAGAATAATTACCATTCCTAAAGCGAACTTGGATCACACTGTCCCAGGCAACTACCGGCCCATCACCTTATTGCCAGTTGTCGGAAAAACTTTTGAAAAAATAATCAAAAATAGATTAGAACAGGCCATTGGACATAAAATCCCAATATACCAATTTGGATTCAAGAGACGAACTTCCACTACTCACCCACTAATTGTCTTAACATCAAATGTACAACAGAAGAGTATAGAGGGAAATAAATCAACTGCGCTGTTTATGGATATTTGTAAAGCCTTCGATTCCGTATGGCACGATGGGTTGCTGAAAAAATTGGTGAAATTGGAAAGCCCGAATTATTTGGTATGGATAATAAAAGAATTCCTCACACAAAGGAAAATACAAGTAAAAATTGGCAATACACTATCCCCCACCTTTTCACCAGAACAAGGAGTGCCACAAGGCTCACCATTATCACCGTTCTTGTATAATTTATTTTGTTATGACATGTACAATTTGGACCACTTAAACATAAACAGACAGAGCTATATTCTCCAATATGCTGACGACACAGTTTTGATAACGCATGGAAAAACGACATCAGAAGCAAGTGTGAAACTACAAGAACTAACCAATCAGGTATCGTCATGGATGTCTAAATGGAGAATCCTACCAAGTCCGTCAAAATCACGCCTACTACTGTTCCATCACAAAATAAAAGAAAATTCGCCCACAATAAATATTATGCAAAGTACAGTGGAACCATCAACATCATGTCGTTACCTGGGAATTTTGATAGACACTAAGTTAAACTTCAAACAACACACAAGCCACACCAAGACATGTATTATAAACAGGGCCAAGCACTTTAGAAGCTTAACTTATAAAGACCAGGGAATAAATATTGCTGTGGCAACCAACATTTATAAACTTATCTGTCGCCCAGTGCTGGAATATGGATCTGTTCTTTTTATAAATTGCAGAAAACCCACCCTAACAAACATAGAGATAGGCGAGCGCACAAGCATAAGGAAAATTACAAAAATCAGACATCCTCAAAATTCCTTATTCAACCCATCCAATGAAGCCCTTTACCATATCACTGGAATACAACCCATACAAGAAAGATTGGAATACCTAGCGAAAAAATTTGCCAACAAACCCGAAAACCTTAATGTGATGGAACCTTTGATTCTTAAAACACAACTCGAGACAACACCAAGGAGAAAATACCCAGAGAAATCGTTGTATGACTCACTCAGGGAATTGACAGAAGATTAATGAAGATATTAACAATATATTTAATTATAACATTTTTTTTTTTTTTTTTTTTTGTAAAGTACAGAACATAAATTAAAATATAGTATTTGTTATATACAAAATTGTAATTGGGCAGGAAGACGAAAGTCGTTAGCCTTTTGGATTTCCAATAAAGTTTATTATTATTATTATTTATTATTTCTGTATAAATTATGAAGTGTCCGAACATTTTTGTGTTAGGGCTCGTATTTAGATTTTGAGATAACATTTAAGTAATTTTTTGATAACTCCAACTCTTTAGTGTGTTTTAAGACAAATTTAAAGACATTTGCTTGTTTCTACTGGTCAATGTAATTTTTTGCAGTTTTTCAGTTACTGTTTTAATGTCTTTTAGGATAAATTGGGAAAATAATTTATTTCCAAGTTGATTTTTAGAGTTTTTGTAATTTTAAGTAATTTTTTGGTATTTTCAACTTTTTAGATACTGTTTCAATGCCTTTTAAGATAAAGCAAGAAAATAATTTGCATTTTAAGTTGTTTTTTAGAATGTTTGTAATTTTTAAGTTATTTTTTGGAAATTTTAACTATATAGTGAGTTTTACGACAAATTTTAAGAAATTTCCTTATTATTAGAAATTTTTGTGTCAAATTTATAGTACCTACTTTTAAGTTGGTTTTTGAAACTTTTAATTGTAAAGTTATTTTTGAAAAGTGTGGAACCCGTAATTCCATAATCTTGTAAATTTAAGGTGGTTTTTAAGTAATTTTTTGATAATTTTAACTATATAGTGTGTTTTAAGACAAATTTGCCTATTTTTAGGAAAACTGGCAAATTTAAAGTAATTTGAACTAGTTGGTTACCATTTTAATGTCTTTTAGCATAAATTAAGCAACTAATTTGTTATTTTTGACAAATTTGTTAATTATGAAGTAATTTTTTGGTTTTTAATTTGTTTACCATTTTTGACATTTTTTAGCCTAAAACTACTTCGAACGTTTTGACGCTATTTGCGACTTAAAAGTCTAGACAAAAAATTTTTTAGTCCAGACTTTTAAGTCGCAAATAGCGTCAAAACGTTCGAAGTAGTTTTAGGCTAAAAAATGTAAATTCTAAGAGTTAAATGTTTTAGAAAATGCTATATTTTAGGTACTACCCCCCAAATAGCAAATACCCCTGCCTTACGCTAATAGGTTCCCCAAATTTCGGCGGTAGATCCGTGAAAAAAGACCTGGAAAGCCAACTAGCGCTGATAACAGAAAACGAAGATTTGAAGAAACAACTGCACAAAGAATGCACCGAATTGTACGAAATGGGTTTACCCGAAAAAACCGAAAGAACCGTGCCCAAATGGGTGTACTTATTTGTGTTCTTGTTTAGAGACTTTTTTTGAGTTCTATAGTTGTTTTTGTTGCAATAATAAATGTTTATGATTGTTGAGAATTCTTCTTAATTTTCACACCTTAAGAATTAAAGTTTATCTATTGGTCGCCAGATGCCGCTATAAGTTGCTATAGAAATACCCTTCGAAATGTTATTTTGATGTACAGTACATCATGTACTTACTATTTTTTTAATACAGCAAGGTTTTTCTTGAATAAAATAAAAGTAGTTTTTAAATTTTAAGAAAATATTATTTACTATCTTTTTAAGTTCAGGCAGTTGTATAACAAACAGTATGGACTTAAATATCAACAAAAAATAAAAAGTAGTACCTACATATCAGTTCTATTTTAACAAATATTTAGTGACCTGAGTGTAAAAACTACATTTTCTTAGTGATATACGTGAATATCTACCATAGTAAGGCTCTGAATTTATTTTAATTTATTTTTTAAATGTAAATATCATGTAACTAGGTCTTCTCTTTGGTAGGCTTTATTTATGACTAGTTTAACAATATCACTCAGAAAAAACCGCGCACGCGTTTTTTAGACAGTAAAATAAACAAAACCCCATCGTTTTTACGAAACGTGTTTTTGTTTATTTGGAATAGTGGGCAAAAACCCGCGCAAGGGTAAACAAAAGAAAATAATATATTATAATAGGTAAATATTAAACGAAATTATTGTGAAATTTTATGGAATATATCGACACAAATAATTTGACAAAAAAGTAGGAATAAAAGCTTTGAAAATAATTCCTTTACAGCTAACTAAATACGAATAAATTGTTTGAATTTATTTATTTCAGTCTTTGGTATATAAATATTAAATAAATATAAATTATATATACAAAAAATTATATATAGTGACTAACAGCCTTAAATATTAAAAGTAATATTTAAGTTACACCACTTACTTTGAAAACAACTTCCAAAATTGAACTGGGCAAAGAAATTCTGAATTCCTTTAGTATCAACAATAGAAAATACAAAAAATGCACACTTACTTCGCGCCTAGGGTCTAACAAACCCACACCATAGGTAGGCGATACCCACGCCCCTGAATCGCTCATAACGTTTCGAACATTCGAAACCGACCGGGTTATGCGATAACCGCGGGGTCGCCTAGACCCCGAATCGGTTGTAAACGTACTGGCTGTTGACGCCGTCGCGACGCGTCGCCCAAATTCTCCACCGAATTGTACGAAATGGGTTTACCCGAAATAAACGCTCCCAAATGGGTGTACTTGTTCGTTTTCTTGTTTAGAGACTTTTTGAGTTCCATAGTTGTTTCTGTTGCTTTTTTGTTAAGTTGCAATAATAAATGTTTATGATTGTGGATAATTCTTTTTTACTTTTTTCACATTAAGAATTAAAGTTCTTCTATTGGTCGCTAGGTGCCGCCATAAGTTGTTCTTTTACTTACCCATAGAAATGTTATTTTGATGTACTTACCATTTTTTTTAAATACAGTAAGGTTTTTCTTGATTAAAATAAAATCGGCTTTTAAATTTTAAGAAAATTTTATTTGCTATCTTTTTAAGTTCAGGCAGTTGTATAACAAACAGTATGGACTTAAATATCAACAAAAAATGGAATACAATGGTAAAAAGTAGTACAAATCAGTTCTATTTTAACAAATATTTAGTGACCTGAGTGTAAAAAAATACAATTTCTTAGTGATATACGTGAATATCTACCATAGTAAGGCTCTGTGAATTTATTTTAATTTATTTTTTAAATGTAAATATCATGTAACTAGCTCTTCTCTTTGGTAGGCTTTATTTTATAAATATTATTTATGACTAGTTTAACAATATCACTCAGAAAAAACCGCGCACGCGTTTTTTAGGCAGTGAAATAAACAAAACCCCATCGTTTTTACGAAACGTGTTTTTGTTTATTTGGAATAGTGCGCAAAAACGCGCGCAAGGCGTAAACAAAAGAAAATAATATATTATAATAAATATTAAACGAAATTATTGTCAAATTTTATGGAATATATCGACACAAATAATTTGACAAAAAAATAGGAATAAAAGCTTTGACAATAATTCCTTTACAGCTAACTAAATACGATTAAATTGTTTGAATTTATTCATTTCAGTCTTTGGTATATAAATATTAAATATATATAAATTATATATACAAAAATTATATATAGTGACTAACAGCCTTAAATATTAAAAGTAATATTTAAGTTACACCACTTAAAGTAATTACTTTGAAAACAACTTCCAAAATTGAACTGGGCAAAGAAATTCTGAATTCCTTTAGTATCAACAATAGAAAATACAAAAATGCACACTTACTTTGCGCCTAGGGTCTAACATACCCACACCATAGGTAGGCGAAACCCACGCCCCCGAATCGCTCATAACGTTTCGAACATTCGAAACCGACCGGGTTATGCGATAACCGCGGGGTCCCCTAGACCCCGAATCGGTTGTAAACGTACTGGCTGTTGACGCCGTCGCCCAAATTTTCCACCGAATTGTACGAAATGGGTTTACCCGAAATAAACGCTCCCAAATGGGTGTACTTGTTCGTTTTCTTCCCAGTCAGCATCCAATTCAGAAAGATTTCAGTATGAAGTCTTTTAAACAACTTCGTGTAGAAGTTCTAACATGCCGTCTTAAACAGCTCCTTTTTATGAGCTCAGAATTTTGAGCTGTTAATGAACTCATAAATAAGAAGTCAATTTTTTTACGTACAAATGAAGATCTTTTCTTGACCACTTTTGAACAATTTTTTTTGAGCTTACAGAGTATTCTTTTTTCTTACTTCCAATTGAAATCATACTATTAACTCTTTTAGAAGTCAACATGGAGACGTCACATTTATGACATTTTAATGCGATTACTTTCTTCTCACCGCTGTAATTGCTTGTGTTTGATATAAGAAGCGGCGAAGTAGAATTTAGAGCGTGCTCCATACCAAACGGTCTTAGACCTAGGTAAACGGCTACCCGATACTGACGAGCTCGAAAAGCGCGAAACAGGCGGTCTATCGGTGCCGGTGAAGAGCACGCTTGAATTTAAACAAATGTGAGACGAAGTAATCGCAATTCCTAAAATAAGCGAATACGAGCAAATTATTAAAATGATTTTATTAAAATTAATAAAATTAATAAAATAAACTTCATCAGTACCCTAGTAGTACTTCTATATCCTAAACGGAAAATTCTAAAGAAGTCTTTTTATAAGTTTATACAGTAGGACTCTTTAAAATGCTAAATTGCGAAGTCAAAGAAAAGGGTTCCTCAAGAGTTCTTTTTTGAGAAGTCTTAATTAGTTCAATAGGTGGCGCATTCGAAGTCTTAAGAACTTCTTAAAAACTTCTTTCTGATATTGTATTTGACGTCCAAATCATAAAATAGAGCTTATGCAGACTTAATTAAGACGTCATATTGCTGTCTGGGTTGTTTAGAGACTTTTTTTGAGTTCCATAGTTGTTTTTGTTGCTTTTTTGTTAAGTTGCAATAATAAATGTTTATGATTGTGGATAATTCTTTTTTACTTTTTTCACATTAAGAATTAAAGTTCTTCTATTGGTCGCTAGGTGCCGCCATAAGTTGTTCTTTTACTTACCCATAGAAATGTTATTTTGATGTAGGTACTTACCATTTTTTTTAAATACAGCAAGGTTTTTCTTGATTAAAATAAAATCGGCTTTTAAATTTTAAGAAAATTTTATTTGCTATCTTTTTAAGTTCAGGCAGTTGTATAACAAACAGTATGGACTTAAATATCAACAAAAAATGGAATACAATGGTAAAAAGTAGTACAAATCAGTTCTATTTTAACAAATATTTAGTGACCTGAGTGTAAAAAAATACAATTTCTTAGTGATATACGTGAATATCTACCATAGTAAGGCTCTGTGAATTTATTTTAATTTATTTTTTAAATGTAAATATCATGTAACTAGCTCTTCTCTTTGGTAGGCTTTATTTTATAAATATTATTTATGACTAGTTTAACAATATCACTCAGAAAAAACCGCGCACGCGTTTTTTAGGCAGTGAAATAAACAAAACCCCATCGTTTTTACGAAACGTGTTTTTGTTTATTTGGAATAGTGCGCAAAAACGCGCGCAAGGCGTAAACAAAAGAAAATAATATATTATAATAAACATTAAACGAAATTATTGTCAAATTTTATGGAATATATCGACACAAATAATTTGACAAAAAAATAGGAATAAAATCTTTGACAATAATTCCTTTACAGCTAACTAAATACGAATAAATCGTTTGAATTTATTCATTTCAGTCTTTGGTATATAAATATTAAATAAATATAAATTATATATACAAAAAATTATATACAGTGACTAACAGTCTTAAATATTAAAAGTAATATTTAAGTTACACCACTTACTTTGGAAACAACTTCCAAAATTGAACTGGGCAAGGAAATTCTGAATTCCTTTAGTATCAACAATACAAAATACAAATATTTACACTTACTTTGCGCCTAGGGTCTCACATACCCACTCCATGGGTAAGCGAGACCCACGCCCCCGAATCGCTCATAACGTTTCGAACGTTCGAAAACGACCGGGGTATGCGATACCCGCGGGGTCGCCTAGACCCCGAATCGGTTGTAAACGTACTGGCTGTTGACGCCGTCGCCCAAATTCTCCAGAGTTTCGACGGTGGGGTTCATCACGTTAAAGAGCACGGCGAAAATCGTGCAGGCCGCGTAGACCCCGAGCGCTATCCACCACAGAAGTTGTTCGTGCAGTTTCTGCTCGAAGTTTTTTAGGACTAGGAGGCCTATCGTCAGGCCAGCCAGGGCGCCGGTCAAATGGGCCACGTAGGAGACCGGCGGGCCCATTGTTTCGGCCGCGTAGCGGGAGTAGATTGCGTAGCCCACGTCACATGAAGCTGTAAAGAAAAAGAAACTGTAAGTAAAGTCATATTTTGGTAGATTTTTAGAAATTTTTAGGTAATATATATACAAATGTAAAGTAATTGTTAATAGTTCATTACAAAATAAGTTGTTCGGTAATATTTTAGTAATTTTAAGGTAATATTGACATTTTTATGATTTTTCATTTCAATTCGCTTAACAAAGAATGGGTTTTGAGTAAATATAAATAAAGTAATTGTTAATAATTAATTAAAATTAATTAATTAAAATTACCAAATTTTTAAAAAATGGTTTAATTTTTTATGAATTTTTTATGAATTCATAATTAAACCATTTTTTAAAAATTTGGTAATTTTAAGTGCAAACCAAAGTAGGTTTTGAGATAAACTTAAAAAATGGATTAAATTTAGAGATTTAACGTATTTTTTTTGTAATTTTAACTATTTAGTAAGTTTTAAGATAAAAATGTCTTATTTTTAAATTAAATCCTAATTCACAATAAATTGACTTATTTTTGAAAAATTTGACAAAATTAAGGTGCTTTTAAGTATTTTTTGGTAATTTTAATTATTTAGTAAGTTTTAAGATAAAAGAAAACCGTTTGGCAAATTTAAGGTGTTTATTAAGTTTTTTTGTAATTTAAAATTACTAATTTTAACTATTAAGTAAGTTTTAGAATCCACCAAGAAAAAATTTGTTATTTTTAAATTAAATAATTCATAATAAATTTAGGTATTTTAAAAAATTTGGTAATTTTAACCATTTGGGAGGTTTTAAGATGAATTTAAAAAAATGCTTATATTTATAAATTCTTTGTGAGATTTAAGGTGTTTTTTAAGTATTTTTTTTGGTAAATTTATGGTTATTTTCAATCATTTTAGCTATAGAAAGTTTAAGGTTATTTTTTGGTAATTTTTGTACTCGAAGTTTTAAGATGAATTTAAAGTAATCAGCATTTTTTTAGAAAATCCATGGTAAATTTAAGGTATTAAGTTATTTTTGTTAATTTTAACTATTTTGTTACTGTTTCCATGCCTTTAAGGATAAATCAATAAAATTATTTCATTAAATTCATTATCAAAAATATTGTAACTTTTAAATAATTTTTTGTAATTTTAACTATTGCGTTTATTTTAAGATGAATTTGCGGAAATATGCTTATTTTTAGAAACTCCAGTAAATTTCAGGTAATTTAAAGATAATTTTTGGAGGTTTTAACTATTTAGCTACTGTTTCAATTACCAAATTTTTCAAAATGAACTCAATAAACAAATTATTTTTTTGATTTATCTACAAGTAAATTAACCATATCGTAAGTTTTAAGATAAAGAATTTATTTAAAGAAATCTGCCTATTTTTAGAAGCTCTTTGGTAAATATTAATGTTAATTTTGAAGTATTTTTTTGTAATATGAAATTTTCTTGTTTTTCGGAACTAATATTATAAGGTAATTTTGAGTTATTTTTTGGTAATTTTAACTATTTACCTACTGTTTTAATCGGTTTTAATGTGTTTCAAAATAAATCAAGAAAATATCTTGTTAATGAGTTTATTTTTAAAAAATTGGTGAATTTTAGGTAATTGACAATTTTGAAGGTTTTAAAAAATCTGTTTGGTTTTAAAACCCCTTTGGTAAATGTATGGTAATTTTAAAGTATTTTTTTGTAATTTCTACTATTTAGTAGGTTTAAGGAAATTTTTTGGTAATTTTAACTATTTAGCTACTGTTTCAGATAAATCTAGACAATAATTTGTTTATTGGGTTAATTTAAAAAAAATGGTAATTTTTAGGTAATTTTTAACTATTTTTTAAGTTTTAAGAAATATGTTTACTTTGGATAATTTTTGGTAAACTTAAGGTAATTTTGTGTGATTTAAACTGTAACTAATAAGTTTTGAGATAAACGAAAAGAAATTTGCTTGATTTTAAATACTGGTTGATTTAAGATAATTTTAAAGTATTGGTAATTTTTACCACAAAATATTTGTTGGTATTTTTGACTAAAAATTTTTTTGGTAATTTTTACCACAAAGTATTTTTTTGGTAATTTTTACCACAAAGCGATTTTTTGGTGTTAAAAAACAAAATCTCAACATACCTATCGCAAAAATCCCGAACAGCCTCAGTATCCCGCACTGCATGTTGTTGTAGTTGAGCAGCACGTTGGCGAGGTGCGCCGCCAAAAGGGCGTAGACGCCGCCCGACGCGCCGACAAGACAAACATCGGTATCGAATACCGAGGTGCCCAGAGAACCGGCAACAACGCCCGCCATGTAGATCAGGCAAACGCGCCCCGAACCGTGGACCATCTCCAAGGGCAGACCCACCAAAAGTTGCACCACCAAGTTGAAGCCCAAGTGTAACCAACTGCAAAGAAAAAAAATGTTATTTTTTGGTAATTTTTTAGTAATACGATTTTTTTACAATTTGTAAATGTAAGGTTACTCGTAATAAATTAAGTAATATTTTAGTAATTTTAGTTAGTATTAAAATTACAATGTTTTTTACCATTTGGTAATTTTAACTATTAAGAAAAATTTACTGTAAATAAATTTGTATTTCTTATTTATTATTCCTTAAAAAAAGTTAAATAAGACCCAATAAATTGTGTTTAAAAAGGAAGGAATTGTTAAGATTTAAGCAGGATGATGTAAAATGTTTAATTAAACAATTAATTAAAGTCTTGAACAGTTTCCTGTTTTTTGTTATTAAAGTTACAGCAATTTCCTTAATGCATTGTTTCATTAAATGGACACATTTTATTACTTAATTATAATTTAAGATTGTAAGTAAAAAGCTTGAAAATTGGTCCTAATATAACTTGTACAGTTTAATAACCTAAAAACAGTTAAAACCGTGTATTAAATATTAAACAATTAAACAACCAGTATCACTGGTTAATAATAAAACCATAATTCACGTTTAACATTTTTATGTAGCGGCTTCCAAAATAAAAAGTAAACCACTGGAAAGCCGAAATTCTAGACAACAAAAACTAATAAAAAACGTTTAATTACAACGCTATGATTAATTAAGCGCGACCGGCACCTGTTTTTTCTTTATTCCTTTGTTTTTGTTGTGTGGCAACAAAAAAGTGTCATGAGAACTTTATCGCGCTGTTTAAACAAAGAACAAACGTTTCTAAATGCTAAATAAAGTAGTTTTCAGAAAATTTATATTTTTTGTATAAAACTTCCCCGCATGTAGCATCATAATATGAAGTTAATTTTTAAGTAACATTTTTCTAATTTTAACTATTTAGTAAGTTATTTTAGTAATTTTTAGGTAATACTAAAATTATAATATTTTTTTACCACGGTAATTTTTAAGTGTTTTTTGGTAATTTTAACTATTAAGTAAGTTTTAGATCAAATTTAGTTTTTTATCAAATAAAGTAAATTTAAGGCAATTTAATTATTTGGTACGTTTTAATTTAATTTAGTTTTTAATTATAAAATTTAGACTTACCCAGCATGTAGTATTATAAACTAAATTGAAGGTAATATTTGGATAATTTTAACTATTTAGTAAGTTTTAGGCAAAATTGAGTACACTTTTATTAAATTTAGACTCACCAAGCATGTGGAAGGTAATTTGTAAGTAATTTTTTGTAATTTTAACTATTTAGTAAGTTTAAGGATAAATTTAGTATTTTTACAAAATTTAGACATTCCCAGCATGACACACCATATAAAGTAAATTGAAGGTAACTTTAGAGTAATTTCTTTGCAATTTTTACTATTTAGCAAGTTTTAGTTTAATTTAGTATCCACTTACTAAATTTAGACCCACCCAGCACTTGGCATCATAGAAAGTAGATAAAAGGTAATTTTTTGGTAATTTTAACTATTTAGTAAGTTTTAGGATAAATTTAGTTTTTTTTATAAAATTTAGACTTACCCAGCATGTAGCATCATATAAAGTAGAAACCTCCATATTTCGGTCCTTTTGTCAGGTCGGTATATAAAAATTGAATCTATAGGAACAGGACCGGCTGGATTTAGTTCACCCGTACTTATTGAGTAGTATGTAAAAAATCCCAGCTATAAAAAAGAGAAAACAATATAGAAAACTTTAATAGTAAAATAAGGAATAGATTTCCTATTTTTATTAAAAATAGGATTAAGATTTATTAAGATGGTCTGAAAAGACAAACATAATTAAAAATAAAAAACACTTCTCACAATTTCTCAGCGAGTAAAATGCAAAGTTATGGGAAAATGGGTAATCTTAATCTTTTCAACATCTTACTTAGGTTTAATTGTAGGTTTTTTTCTACAACAAGTAATTGATTAGTTTCTCACAATATAATAGGAAATTAAATGGACATTGTGTGTTAAAACAAGTTTTAGATCTATCCAAGGATTATAAGTATTTTAATTGTTTAACAACCTTTAAATGGCCTAAATATTAACTTAAAGTTATAATATAGTGAACCCACTTATCAAACAAATTGTTCCAATTAACTTAAATTATCGATATCACATTTTTCTGTTATAGCAGCATAACTTATTATATAAACATATATATTATAAACGAGAAATAACTTTTAATAGACTTAACAGTATGTGGTGAATTTTTGCGTATTTATTTCCATAAAAATACCAAAGTATTTTCTCTGTAGCGATAGTTAATTATACCTATACTACAGCGCATATATATGTACATATGGGCAATTTGTATTAATATAATAATAATTCAGCTTTATACGCATTCACCAACGGGTAATTAGTTAATGGGCGAGTTTAATAAACAGTTTATAGGTATTTATTAATTAAATTCCAAGTAATTTTAACCCAGATTAGGTAAAAAACGTCTGTTAAATGAACAGTAAGGAAGTTCTAACGTTAAAATGTTGTTTTTTGTATTATTTTTTTACTATTAAATGTGTTTAAAAATTGGTACGTTTTAGGTAATATTTTGGTAAGTGTTATGTAATATTTAAAATACACTCATTTTAATACCGAAAAAACAATTTTGAAGTATTTACACTATAATATTGATACAAATCAAGAACAATTTTTGGTTAATTAATTCCTTTAAGGTTATATTAGGCTATTTAAAAACTATGTAAATGTGTTTTTTAATGGGAAACAACATCATATAAAATTAAACTGACTTATTGGAAAGTAATTTGTTGGTAATATTTTAGTTATTTTAAGTTAATAAGGTAATTTATATTTTGAAATGATATGTTGGCAGAATGAGACATGTAATATCAATTTTGTTTTGTATAGTAATTTTTTGGTAATTTTAAGGTAAAATCGTGGTAATTCATATTAAAATGCAATAATATCATTGTAAAAACTTATTTCGACAAAATTTCATTCACGTGACAGCTGTTTGTGCGTAGAGGAAGCAATCAATTTTTATACGCACCCGGCGTTTCTCGATTTCGGGAAACACATGTCGGTAATTTAAGTTAAGAAGAGCACGTGCCAGACGAGGGTGTTTTTGGACGTAAACTCCCTTAATTTTCAAAGGCACACGTTTTAATGGCAGTTCGGGGGAAACAGTCAAAACAAGCCTAATTAGTTTTTGTATCTTTTGCCCTGGCTAATTTTAGATTCGTTCGAGACGGCCTGGCATTCGTAAACACAAAGGAAATTTAATGCTAATTCTGTAAAATAAATACCTTTAGTTTTAGAGGAGAATTTATGTATGGACATTTTAATTATTTTTGACGAAAGAAATTCTGTTGCACAAGCATTGGTTATTTATTTTTAGACGATTTTTGTGTATTTTAAAGTCGGCATCGTTTCTAGTAAACAAGCCACGGATTTGTAAAACATTTTTTTCATCGGTAACCTCAATTCAATCCTCGTAAATAACGAAGTAGTTCAAATAAACACTGAAATCACCTGATTTTTAGTATTTCTGCTTTATTTTTAAGTGTTAAAAATATCAGTTTGGTTATTTTATGGTAAAATTGTGGTAACTTACAGTCAATAAACTTATTTATTGTTAAAATGTAATCTCGAGTATTTAGATTTAAAGTGACGATTTTTAGGTAATTTAGAATTTTTGGCGTATTTAAAGTAATTTTTAGGTAATATTTTTGTAATATTTATAATTTTTTAAGTTTAAATACATGTTTGACGTACCTAATGTTATGGTCTGTTTTTTTTATTTTTATGCAGAAAAGTATTTTTGACGTAGGTATGTACTTTAAACGATGAAAACTGACTAGCAAGAATAACTTAAAATTACCATAAAGTAATTATTAGGTAATTTTTTCAATCCAGGTATTTTTTTGCTGTAAAAATAAACACCGACCTGAAATTACCATGAAGTAATATTTTGGTAATAATTAAGTATTTTTTCTTCAAATTATTCTAAGAATGACTTACCTCGACGAGGGTGATGATGATGATGAAAAGTGGTGGGGGACAGCACGTATAGTGGTCCGCATAGTACTTTCGGTCTCTGGCGTCTGTTAAAAATTCATCGGCGACTATTGTAACCATCCTGCATCGAAAAAAAAACAATAGAACGTTAAAATGGTGGTTGCAAAAAAACAAATGAAATAATTTCTATTCCCACGTTCGTTTGTTTGTTGAAGTGTGCAACAAAAGAACATCGGTTGATTGTTTTTTTTATATTTGACTCTACTTTTAACGGTAGGTATTTTTAAATTGTAATTTCCTCCAGTTAAACACGATAAATCTATCATCTATTTTAAATCTTCTTTATATGCGTCTTTTATATAAACTGAACAGGAAATTGGGCATTACCTGCCTCTTAGAAGAAACAAACGCGAAAAATAAAATAAAACAGTTGACGGTGCAAGTTGAAAATAGCCTACTTTACTTTATTCATCCAGACAGGAGACGCATAAAAACAGTGTAAAAAGGGAGACCGACAAGAAGGCCGAGGCATTTTCTTTTGTTTTCCCCGTTACGATGCTCTTATTTTTACCCTAAGCAGCGTCTATTTTTATCGTTTTTGGGGTAAAAATACTTTTTATTAGGTTCGGGGTGGATTTACTGTTTTTTGCAATAGATTTACACTGCTTTATGTCTAAAAGTTGTCCAATATTTACTTTTTTGTGATATATGTGTTTTTAGCCCTTTGGTAATATTTAAGTTGTATTGAGTAGTTTTTGCGATTTTATGAAAAATACGATATTTTAACAATAGCCAAGTGTTTTTTTGTAATATTTTACTTAACACAATTTTATAAAATTAAGACTATAGTCATTTTTAAGTAATAATAAGGTATAATTAATGATTTTATTAGTTTTTTTTACTTTTTATAAAATAAAATATTTTTCTGAAAGTTTATTGATTTTTAGTGATATGTTTTTGGAAAGTTAGCCTTTTGGTAATATTTAAGTAATATTAAGTAGATTTTGTTATTTTATAAAAAATATAATATTTTAACAGTAGCCCAGCGTTATTTTTAAATGCATTTTTATAAAATTCTGGTAAGTTGACTATAGTTACTTGCAAGTAATATTAAGGTAATTTTTAAAGTTTTTAATGATTTTATAAGTATATCAATGGTAGCAAAAGGTTTTTCTGAAAGTGTATAAAAAAGTAAAAATTTTAACAATAATTATTTACCTGCGAAACAGTGGTGGCTCGACTAGTAACAAGTGAAAATCGTTTTCGGAAGAGACTTCTCTATCTCTGTGATGGACGGCGCATTTAAAACTTCTCGATCTCTTTCCTGTCATCTGCAACAAAAAAAATAATAAATAAATAAATAAACAAAATGAATTATCGAGTTTTTGGGTCCCGTGTGATTTTTTGTGTTTTAATTCCACGCCAAATTAGTAGCTCAAACAGGCCCATTACGGCGTGATAATTGGCGCTAAGTCACACATTATCTCCCGAGATGTTCCCATAGAAGTAAAATAAACAAACGTGAGAAAACGATGTTGCATTGTTTGGCGTGAGGAATTTTGATTTTTTGTTGCGTTAGTCTATTAAATAATTTAATTTCCTTAAGTTTGATGTGTAACATGACATACTTTGATTAAAGAATAACGAAGTTATTCATGAAAATGTCAATTCCAAAGCCAACTAAGGATTATAGTGTTTTTCACGTTTATCTAGTTACCTTACAAACTAAATATATCATGTTATATATCAATAGAAAGGGAATTTAAAAACCTATAAAACAATGTATGTATTGTTTGTATTGGGTTTATATGTCGTTTTTGTGTTAATACCGGCCTGCTGCGTTCTCAATTAATAGCACGCGCAAAGCGGCGCTCACAAATGATTGTTTTCGACGAGTAAAGGCAGGTGCTCACAATTTTCGAGACGTACGAAGCCCCCTTTTCAATTATTGACAATTATCGGCGAAATTTACATATCGATGCCGACAACATGAACCAACAATTTTTCGGTCGTTTTTTTGCTTCGAAATAACATGGAAAAACGAGTTGCGTGCACAGAAAGCTGTAATTTGAGCATATCGCACAGAAATAAAAAAAATTAAAATTTGCACAAAATGTGCGTTAAAAGGTAGCAATTTGGCAATTATCTTGTAAACTGTACAAAAATCTGATTTTCGAAGATAATCACCAAAAAATTACCAAATAGCTACCTTCTAATGCGTATTTTGTGCAAGTTAAACAATTTCTCGCAAATAAAATGACATTTTCACTTGCGATACAGTATAGTTAAAACAAAACAAAATAAAGGATTGTGTTATTGCTGATATATTTCAAGCGACACTTTCCCACCATCTCGAACCTCTTAACTTATCTGAATATTAATACGTATCGACTTAACCATGGGAGCGGTGAGTTCGTCTGTCGCAGATAATACCCGGCAAAATTGACAAAGTAAGCTCGAATCGCATGTGAACAGCGCATTCTTAAAAATGAAGACCGCTAGTGGTATATAAGTTTAAAAAGCAAGAATGTAATATTTTAACTTAAAAGTACTTAATATTTAAGTAGGTAATTTAAATAGGTAATTTAAATATATTTACACAATTAAGAGCAACTTCTAGAAATTACTACAAAACAAATTATACCCTTTTTTTTAATTTCCATGTTACTATATAGTAATTTTTTAGTAATATTAAAGAAATTTTATTAATTTTAATGTTTTTAGAACATTTATATATATAAAACTTATTTTTACTAGTAAATTTTAAAACATTAATGATAATCGAGGATTTCTTTTGTGACTGATGTTATTCCAGGTTTTCTATGTATTTTTTCAAATTACTATAAAGTTATTTTTAAGTTATATTAAAATTAAAATGTGAAATTGCATTTAGAGTGGATAATAAAATCAAAACAAAATCGGCCGGGTTGTTAATCTAATAGCGTCTGCCGTGGAATGTGGCACACGTAGCATAGCAACGCGACCGTATGTGCCTAGATGTAGAAAAAAAGGAAAACAAAAAACTAAGAAAAAAAGAAAAGAAAAACGGTGCACGCCTAAGAGAGCAACTAAATTAAGCCGCCCGATGTAAATGAACGGTTCGGGATTAATTAAATATCGGACACGACCACATACCTCCCCGTGGCGGAGAGGCTACTTGGGCAGCCGCGGACTAACTAGCTCAATTATAAGGCCTACAGAGCCGGATTTCAAAAAATTTCGTAGAGATTTTCATTCCATTTTCAACGGTGCATCACATGTTGGTTTTTCTTAAAAAATAACGCGAAAATCGGGGAAATTAGTTTTTAGTCTTAGAAGGCCATGGTCAAATACGTTTTTGGCTATAACTTCCTTATTATTTAGTCAAAGTATGTCGTGTTACCACTCCAACAAAAGAAAATTTTATTTTCTATCCGATGGAATAAATATTTTTTTACTTTGAATTAGAACTACAAAGCAAGCGTTGAAAGTGAAGTTTCATTCGATGTCTGGCTTACCATTGGTCGAAAACCCATCGAGTAACATATCAATTGAAAGGTTTTTGGGTGATCTATTACACGGTATAATTTGTAACCGTCCAGTTTGTACAATAGCACAAAATCAATTTATTAAAGATTGTCAACGAAGAATTTAAATAATATTTCAGTTGGTCGATGATTTGGGTTATCAATTTAACTGATTGATGATGTTATAGCGCATGGACGATTAGTTATGTTAGCATTGAGGAAAATTATTACATCTTTATTATTACTTTCATTTAGTTTATCATTATTAAAAATAATCACACGCCAAATGGGAAATTGTTCTAGAGATATTTGCATAATTTTTTACTGTTACGAGGAAAGTTAAACGTAATTATTTTTGATCAACGTTCCAGAACGAAGATTTTCGATTCGAGTTGCATAAAAAAGAGATCTGAATTATAATTTTCGGCTAAGTGTTATATTCTGTAGAAACAATGTTGTTGTGTCCAAAATGCAAAATTATTTAATTGTTAACATTTCGGGAGCATTGACATTTCAATATTTGGTCTTATGTGTGGGTTCCACAAACGTAACAACATTATTTTCATGGTCCTATGTTTTTATTTTAATAAATTGTACGATAATAGGCGAAAAATTACCAAATGGCTACTTATTTCGTACAGTTTACAAGATGATTACCAAATATTACCAAATTGAGACCTTTTTGTTGGAGTTTGGGACAATTTTAATAATTTTATTTTAATTCGTAAAGTTATATCTAATTTATATAATAAACACATTTTATGAAAATTTTAAGTAACTTCAAACAAAATGCTTAGGGCCATTTTAAAATTTTTTGTACGTTTAAAGAAGAAAAAGTAAAAACCTGTTTTTTTCCAAATATTGTTTATTTAGGGGTGTTATTTAACACCTAAAAGTGGGCAGTTGGATTTTTTTAAATAAGCCCTTAAAAAGAAAAAAGAAAAAATTTAATAGGTAACAGTACAAAACTAAGTAAAAGCAAAAACTATGTTCAATTTCTCAACATTCTTACATAAGTATTTTTAATATATTTTCTGAATTAAAAACGTTTTTCTCGATTATTTATCTGGGCCCAGCTTGTACAACTTAACGAGCAATAAATTAATACAAAGTTTTAGTCATTAGTAATATTAATAAAATAATAATAAAAAGTCAATAAAAACATTGTTTCGTTGAACTACCAAAAATTTATTTTTAGCTTCTTTTAGGCAAAATACATTGACTAAAAAATTACTATTAAAAAGGTGGAGGACATTATTTGAAATTGGCTACGTACTGAAACAGAAAAGGTGAAAGGTCAAAAAAAATGTTTTTAAAACTTTTCTATAAGTTTATTAATAATAATATTATTTTAAATATTTTACATTATTTTAAAAATATGTTATAATTCAATTCTTTGGAATTGTCCCCTGGGTCACATAACTTTCCCCTGGGTCACACAATATGTGATCCAGAAGACGTGTGACCCAGGGGAAAAATGTATGTTTTTAGAACATAACCTCTTTACTGTTTTAAAGATAAAAAATTGTATTTTTGCCCTTAAAACCATTACTAGGATACTTTCTTTTTGTACTTTTGGTACCTTTACTACTTTTTATTACTGACAGGAGAATGCACAGTTTTGCCACGCTAGTATAAAAATACAAAAAAACGTGTTGTGGCTTCAAGATAGTTCAAAACAAGCATTCTACTAAAATTCAAAAGGTCATTTATAAAAGCTGTGACCCAGGAGACGTGACCTAGGGGAGCAAAATTTAGGGACAAACTTTAGGGGTTATTTTAACCACTTGTATTTTTAAATATTACCACCAATGGGCTTTTTCTATAAAATTTGAAATATATTCTCAACTATATAAAAAAGGAGGATGTTAATTTACTCTAAATAGCATTAAGTAGTGAATATTATTGCAAGTGGGACAACTACTTTTTTGGGGAAAGTTTAGTTTTTTTATAGGGTTAAATTTAAAATTTTACAATTTTGCTAATATATAGTTGCTAAAAACACTTAAACCAATTGATTTCGCTTAGTAAAGTTCCAAATGGCGTTAAACTCGATTTTTTATAAAATATTAAAGTTGAGCGACAGCAAATGTACAAGAAATTTGAAAATATACCATAAGCAATATTTTTATGAAATTGAAAAATAGTATTTCAAATGTAACTTTGAAGTAATTTTTAGGTAATATTGAACAAAAATCATGTACCTATAAATAAGCAAATTTTAGTAAAAATAAACAAACGCTTTGTTTTAGGTCGTGTTAATAGTAATAATAGTTCTTGTTTTTGTCCTTGTACCAATTTATCGTAATAGCCGTATCAGATTTTGCACTTACCAAGTCGTACAGTTTTAGATAAGCGTAAACAGAACTACGTAGACTTAGTGAAAGAAAAAGGTAAAATTTTCCCACGCTCCTAATAATACTTTACTCATAATGTATTAGTATTTATGCGTTATGCTTTCTGTTTAGCGTTGTAACGGCTTCGGAAATAATATAATTAGTATGTAAATGAAAAAGAGAACTTATTAAACGAATCTCGGCATCTATATATGTATATGTATGTATATATCATAACTCAGAACCGAAAAATTATTAATTATTGCCGCTGCGGTCATTAATAATCAAGTTGTCGATGCCGATATTGTTTTCGAACATTCGAACGGCGAAGGTGCGTTTTTATTGGAAAAATAAACTCATCAAATTGTCTTTAATTGTTTCGAGATCTAGCCATCTTGCCGAGCCAACCATAAACATTCGACAATCAACGCTGCTACAAACCATGCGTTGCCAAGTTTACGGAATTTTGGGGAAAATGTGTTTTTTGTAAAGTTAATACAATTTACAGAATAATTACCGTATAATTACTAAATGGCTACCTTTTAAATGAATGTTCTTGTTTTTTTATTAAATTTGTTTAATATACAAGATACCTATTCACAAAAAATATACTAAACAGTCATATTTTTCATTAATGTTCTTATCGAGGGGTCAACCACCCAAAGGGAAAACGTCCAGGGATTCCCATGTATTCCCATTATATTTTATTGTATTCCTATGTATTTCCATTGTATTCCTTTGGTATTCCCCCTCTAAAATGTCCAGGGATTCCCAGGTGTGGGTGACCCCTCGGTTCTTATAAGTTGTACGTAAAAGGTAGATATTTAGTTTTTTATGGTAAGTATACTATACCTATAGGTATTTAAACAATAGTCAAATGTTTTTATACAATTCAGGTACATAGATAGTAATTTTTTCTGAATACTTTATTACGTTATTTATATGTATATATATATATATATACATATGTGTTTTAAAAGGTAGCCTTTTGGTAATATTTAAGTAATATTAAGTACCTAGTTTTGTGATTTTTTAAAAACTGTGATGTTAACAGTAGCCAAGTGTTTTTTTGTAATATTTAACCAAATCATTTTTATAAAATTCATTAATTGTAGTATTGTAGTAAATTTATAAGTAATACAAATGTAATTTATAAGGTTCTAATAATTGTTTGAATGTTGTGGTATTTTTTTCAAATAAATATTCATTGAGTAATTTTACGGTAAATAATAATTAATTTTCCACATTTACATTTTAATTACTAAATCGCCTTTTGGTACCATTAACAGAATTTTTACTATATAATTTTAAAAAATTGTCATATAAGTATAAAAAATATCCTCTAAAATATTCCAAAACTGTCTAAAATGTGCTTAAACTGTTTTTACTATCAAAAATGTCCCAAAAACGGTCTAAAATCCCGTGAACTGTCCTAACCGTATAAAACGTACAAAAACAAACAAATAACCAAGTACCTAGATACCTTTTTCATGCAATTTACAGATAATTACCAAAAAATTACCAAACAGCTACCTTTTTCTTGCAATTTAGAGGATAATTATCAAAAATTACTAAACGGCTACCTTTTTCGTTTAATTTACAGAATATTCCCCATATAATTTTTAAAAATTGTCTTATAAGTGTAAAAATATTCTAAAACAGTCTAAAATGTGCTTTAACTGTTTTTACTAGCTAAAATGTCCCAAAAACGGTCTAAAATCCCGTAAAATGTCCTTAACTGTCTTGAAACCGTATAAAACGTGCAAATACAAACAAATTACCAAGTAGATACCTTTTTGCAATTTAGAGGTTATTACCAAAAATTACGAAATGGCTACCTATTTCGTTGATCCTTGGAACTAAATTAATATTTTTTATTGGATTTCTTTTAATTTTATGACGGGAGATCCGACAACAGCGCGTTGAAAACCTAAACTTGTGTCTGTCTGGTCTTTCGGCGTACGTATGTGTGTGTGTGAGTGTGTGTGTGTGTGTTGGGCACGTCTGTGTGTGTGTGGCACCTCTGTGGGTTAGTTACGAGCACGGCCGGGTAGCGGGCCCCGATGGTGGTGGGCCGCGCGCGTGGGCCTCATCGCAACAGGCCCACGCTCGCCGCCACTTTCCCACGGCCGGAATCTCTTCTAGTGGATGTGGACCTCTTTTATTTGCATCCCAACACACACACCAACCAAAGAACACAGAGACATGCCGAGAGGTTATTGTCACCTCAATATAAAATTTCCTCAGAACCAATTTTCAACTTTGTAAGTTATATTTCACTACGTTTGATAATAAAATATTAAGGCCCCATGCTATAAAGTTGACTACTACCTAATTAACGTAGGTACCTACTTAATAAAATAGCACGGCTTGTCTTGAAGGAATGTCCGTTAATTAAAATAAGATTTGCAATGCTTTACTAAAGCAGCTAGCACTAGTTTCAAACAATTACATTTAAGATATTATAAAATCGAGATAAATATTACAAGAACCGGATTTATTGTGTCCAATAATACCGCCTAGGTATGTAGTATAATAAGCGTTGAAAATTATTAACCATAAATGTTATGACTAGATTAGATTTTATGAGACAATTTGAGAACAAAGTAAGAATATTTTTATAAGTAAAAATGTTTGTTTTATTTTTGGCAAACCGATCATTTTAACCAGTAAATACACGTGTAAAATCGTTTCACACTCGACTAGGTTCAATGAAATAGACAAAATAAATAATCTATTTTCATAAAACACCAGAAACCTCTAGGTAATTAATGTATTTGAGTTTTTTCAACCTTAACACAAATACTTCAACTCATAGCCACTAATTACCTACAAATTATTACAAAACAAAGTGACCGTATCTGCCACCATCGATTTTCTTTTGTTTCACACGCAAGCCACGTTGCCGTGTGTTCAGACGTCGTTACGCAAACCGTGTGAAAAAATTTAAATAAAAAAACGGTGGCGTCTACCTAGCTATAAAAAAACAAAAGATACCGGAAAAATTTCGAAATAAAATCGAAGCGGGCGGCGAGTCGAGAGTGTATTAAAATCAGCTGATCGGCGACGTCGACGAAAGTCAGTGCACCGCGGACGCGCCGTTGCCAGAATTAACCGAAAGTAGCAGATTTTGGGGGAAATTTTAAAATGCCTTTAAAGTTATCAATATTGTTTTAAATTCCCTAAAATGTCTTCAAAATGTTTGATAACCGTCTAAATGGTATAATGCGAAATTTTTGTAGTAAACAAATTTTTTATTTAGAATTTTTACTTTTAATCAATTTTAGAAGGTTTAAATATAAAATAACTAATTTTTGTCTATCCTTTTAGAAACTAAATCCAGAAAGTTTTGCCTATAGACAAATTTGTTAAAAATTTAGAGCTCTACATTCTTTTTTTAAAACTTTTTTCGTCCGACCAATATGAAATGAGATAGAAAAATACGAGATCATTTTTTGTGCGACTTGGCAACGCAGCAAATTTCGTAGGGGGTCCTCGCAGAGACAAATCGCGTTTTCCAAAATAAATCAGGCACGCGCGCACTTATCCGAACACACCTATTCTCAGATACTCGGACAAATCAAGTGAGTCATGTCTACATCTACAGATCGAATCTATTTTAGTTTCGCGACATTTTTTAAGCGATTCGACGAGTTGGCGGTGATTTAAGTTCATTGTTAAGAGGTGTTTAAACTGGCATTTTTTGTGAGAATTTTCATAAATTTTAATTTGCCTCACCGTACGTCAAGGGCGAAAGTCCTAAGAAAAAAATTACTACAAATATAATTTATGAATGCAAGTTACCCTCTATGAATAGTTTTTAAAGTGTGGCATAATAAAAGAAAAATCTCGAGAAAAATAAAGACTTGGCTTCGGGCTTCTACAGGTGAAGAAAGACTATAGTAGGATTACCATTGTTACTTGTACATAGGGATATAGGTACAAATAAATATTGATAAGGTTTTGGATCGTTTTGCAAAAATGAAAAAAAGACATTATAATTTTATAATTTGAATTTTATATTTAAAAGGATTACCTAGGTCCTAAAAAAAGAATATATGTTTATGTTTATGAGATATTTAGTTTTGGTACCTTTTCCCCAATATACAAAAGCAAATAAACAATAAGGAATTTTGCCAAAGTAATTTTCCTTATATGTTACCCCCCCCCCCAAATTCTCGACGCCCTTGCTGTGTGTAGTTTCTTAAACAAATGAATGAAACAAAAGGCGATGCGAAAAAAACAATCGAGTCCCACTATACTACCTATTATACCCCGCAAAGTGAAGAAATAATGCCAACAACTCGATGTGACTTATAAACAATGTAGATTAATTACCTACTGGTGTTTGTAAATCCTGGTTATACATTTTCTCTTAATATTTGTTATAACCTGTTCTTGTTCTATAGAAATAATTTATATAGAACAAAACAAGTTAGGTATACTGTTAAGATCAAAAAGAGGATCTAAATAGGTACCTACTTGAAAGTGAAAGGGAATGAATCATAAAAATCTTGCAAAATATTTAGAAAAACCCTAGGTGAAACACCCAATAATAATATTGATTAAAATGAGTCACAAATCTAAAAATAAAAAAATCATTTCATGTTAAAAATTATCAAAATTTAAACAATAAAAAAATAATCAAATTTTGTCTTTGTTGCTTCAAACCCAATGATGTCACCAAAATAATATTAAGTCCAACAAGTTCTTACAAGTCTGAAATCTTTAACATGTGGTAATATTTCACCATTTTATTTTTAATTTAATTTGATGATTAAATTAGGTACTTTCCTTGTTCTATTCACTAAATCTTTTATCTCATTTTTTTTTCATATCTCGCTTCGTTTAAAAGTTATTAAGAAAAATACGTCAAATTTCACAGAAGAATTATTTTATTAAATCACGTCATCATTGAGTAAAGAACACACTTTACTCAATGACGTCATATTGAGCTTGTGTCGGCTTGTGTATTTTCCTTAAAATCTTCGAAAGGAAGAAAGACATAAAAAAACATAGGACAAAGAATTTATTAAACCCACCATGAACCATTAAAAAAATAGACCCTGTAGGTTACCTACGGGGTCTATTTTTTTAATGTTCCTACAGTAGGTACCTATATAGGAAATTCCTATTAGGAATTCGCCAATTGTATTTTTAAGATATTTTATCAAATAGGTAAGTATAGTGTGCCATGTTTTTAACGTTTATTTTCTAGGTTACCCGATTCTAATATTACACCTAACATGTTTTGCAATATTTGTGGCCTTTATACTTTTAATTTATTGAATTTATAAATAAAATCCACAATTTAATAATATAACGTAGGTAGGTATATCACCCTTGAATAAAAATCGATTATTCGGCAACGTTAACCTCAAAAACACGGTATTGATTTTCCCCTTCGCCCTATTTCTACCATAATACGAACTCACCCATTATTTCGTCAATTAAATCCTCAAAAACACCCACAGAAAATCACTTAACAATTAATTATAAACTTGTCACCAAAATACAATACAACAACAAACGTCAAATTCAACCGATGTCTTTGATATTGTTCTATAGACAGCACAGTACGTCTTCTTCTTGCGACGCGCGTTGGCAGACTGAAGTTTCCGCAGATCGTCGTTTGTTATATCGACCCCCCACCCTGAGCCGCTATTTCGAAGTAGCGGTGATTCGCGTCTACGGCGGCCCTGCGTGGTTGCTAGACGTTTGCCGCTTCGTTGTTACGGTGGCCGACCAATCGGCGGACGCAGCTCGATGCGGTAGGGGGTTTGTGGGCGTGGCTTACGTTTGATTTGTTCTCATTGAACAAGAGTGCTAGATTTTAACACGTATTTGAATTTACAGATATAATACGGTTTTTATATAAAATATTGACACAATTTTACGTTTTTTAGTGTTTTGAAGACACAATACTTTGATTTTCATGGTTTACTGATTCTCCCAAGCATTTTTAGTAAGTGCTGTTTTAATTTAAATTTTGTTAGATTTTCAAGGTGGTCTTTTAACGTATAAATTGGATTCGATATGGAGTTCGGATTGAAAAAACAGTTTGCAATAATAGATATTCTATTTTAATTTATACAGGGTGTTTATTTTCCCTTGGTTTAAACGAAATTAAAAAAAAATCCAATACCTACCTACTTGATTTACTTAAAAGTTTATGGAGAACGGAAAAACATATCGATTTGAAATTTGTATAGCAATTATAAGGAAATGTAAACTATTTTTTAAAATTATTTTCCATGCGTTATCACTTTCGTTTAAACCGGTTTTTCAAATGGAACCATATAAATATATAATATATAATTGCATTTTTAAATTCTAGGTAAAATTCTAGAAAAAATAAAACAGTTTTTGAGACATTTAATTTTATTTTTAATTTTGACAGATGGATGGTCTTACTAATATGTCTGTATTACCACCAATTGTAATGTTAAAAAGTTAATTTTTGGTGTACCTAAGGAGCACTGGTGTAACTAAGGAGCACTCTATCCAAAGCCATTAATAGTATTTAAAAAATGTATACAGGGTGTCTGGTATTTACGTCCACCATCTGGTGGAGTTCGATAGCATTGCGTGAATTTAAGAATTGTCAACAATACATTTAAAGCATACGAACTGTACACCGAAAAAAGAAATAATTGTATTAAATAAAAATATACTTGAACCAAGTAAATATATGTTTGATATAAGCCAATCACTTATAAAATTGAATCAACTACACAAAATAATTACTAGAAAATACAAACATAGTAACCTCAATTATATATGGGCTTCACTCTGCTGTCTGTAGCAACAACTGAAACTTGTGATGTCTTATAGCAAATAAAAATATACTTCAGAAAACCACCGCACGTTGTCAAACCAACCATAGAAATGTTTCAGTAAATAACTTAAGTATTTCTTATATTTTTGAGAAATAATTTGTTTAAATATTCCACGGTTTGATTCAAATGTATCTCTAATGTTTCCTAAATACGTGGGTGTTTCAATAAAAAACCCATATATTCAATTCAAATACATCGATAATTTGTGCCAAACATAGAGATACGTGAATAAAATGTTTTATGTATTTAACCTACTCACAAAAATGTTTCCAAAAACCACTTTATGATTAATGTGAAATTAAAGTATAACAGAATAAATTATTCTATAAAAGATATGAATTACTTTTCTATAAAAAGATCGATGAGATGATAAGTTATAAAGGCGATAAAAATTAAACATACAAAAAGCTTTTCCATTCGTAAGTTCTAGTCATGTGGTTCTATAGTTAATTTCGCATCTTAATATTTCATGTGGAATACCATAATATTTAAATATAACTCGAAAGTTTAAGCATGGCTTGTTTAAGAAAAACACCATTTATATATTAAAGTGTAAAAATATATATTTGTCATTCAAATACATTATATTAATAGCTGTCCCTTAAAACTTACCGTCGAATATTTCTTTTAAATGCACTAATTTATTTACATTTATGAATTCATCCATTATTCAGGCTGATAAGTCACAATTTAGTAAATTGAATTTACACATAAGCACAGAGGAGCACATTAGGACCAAAGAGTATTAGGACACCAACGCATAAAATGGAGCCAGTGCACTGCTGCAGTGGTCGGATATTTGAAACCGTGTCGACTGTCTATTATGGAGGCTCCATAATGGAGCACGCCACGGCGTTCTCTATAGAGAACGCCGTGAGCACGCACATACACCATAAACTAAACGACGCGTCCTGTGCTTTGTAAACATCGCCGGCGCATGCGTTGCGGGCATATTAAAATCGTACGCCAAGTACGAAAAAACTTGTAACAAACATTTATTTTATTCGTTTAGCTTTTGAAATTATTGATGCAAATATTTTAACTTTAAAGGTGCTACAAATTTTGTAGACTTCAGCTAATAATAGACGCATTTAAGCCAAATGATCATAAATTGATTAATATAAATTATTTGATTTAAGAAACTCGTCTTTTTCATTCAAAAATGTATTATTCAAACATGTGATAGATGGATAACAAATATGCGAAAATTGTTAATTCAAATAAATCGTGATAAATTTAATTATACAGGTATTTTAGTCAATTAAACATAGGTCAACTACACTATATATTTGACTTTGCATGATGCAATTTTTTCAGTGTACATCATTTTTAAATAAATAGGTAGTTTTTTCACAAAAGAGAGGAAGTCTTACTCGACAAGTTTTGTTCACAATGTCACAGCTAAATCGCGCACGTTATTTGTTTTTTACGTTGCAAGGAAAAAACTAAAAAACTGGTTTAGTACTCGATTTCGATTGATTATTTCTTATATCATTGATTAAGAAACTCAACGCTTATATATAGGTATAAGCATATACATGCATATGCTTATAACTATAGTTATAAGGCCCGGATTTTTAGGTCATAAAAAAGTGATAAAAGGTTCCTAAATTAGGTGATATTTTTAATAAAATAGGTTATTATTTTAGGTACCTATATTTTAGGTACTTAATTAAAAAGTTAATATTGGTTGGCCCGTATTTTTAGGTTATAAAAAAGTAAAAAAAAAATGCAAAAAATAGGTCACATAGTTATAAAATCAGGTTAATATTTTAGGTGCCTACATTTTAGGTGCTTAAATAAAAAAAAATAAGCTGATTTATTGAAATATAATGTTCTCATTATAATGTCAATATCGTTGTAAAACCATACATAGGTCTTATGTAGTTTTAGTTACATTATATTTGCTTTGTTAATGTCTGGCAATAAAGGATTTAAATTAAAAATGAAATAGTTATTAAAATAATATTTATTATTAACATTAACTGAACAAAAATGTTTGGTTGGAAAAATAACAAATAAAATAAAAGATTCTTTAAAAAAGTAATTATATAATAATATGATATTATCACAAATAATGTAAAATTGAAATTACAAAAAAAAACAAAATAGGAACTCTAAAATAAAAAAAAAATAAATTTTATTAATTTATTTAACGATTAGGTATAGGTATGCATGACAGACAAAATATTTCTCCAAGTTTTCAGAAGTAAAGCTAGTGCGTTTATCAGTCAAAACATTTTTAAACCAAGAGAATTATCGTTCAACGTCACAGGAGGGGTAAAAAAAGTTCATTTTAGGTATTAAAAATACAATTTAGGTGCAAAAAAGGAAAATAGGTGAAAAAAATATAAAAAAGGTATTTTAGGTCAAATAAAACTTGGTCAGATGACTCCATTTTTTATAAAACGGGCAAATACAAAAAATATCTTTAAAACCTAAAAAACTAACAAAAGGTGTTTTACCTAAAATCCGGGCCTTACTTATAACGTAACTAAAAATATATATAGTTACGTTAGTGTGTGTATTTTTTCTAAGAGATCATGGTGAATTATTGTGTTTTTAATTTCCTCTCGAAATACACCCAACAACACAACAAATCGTGCCACATTTTTTTTTTCGATATTTTTTAACATTTTTTGGCTTTATTCTCAACAGCTGATTATTAAAAGTTGTAGTTTTGTTACGATGATACTAGCGATGCTTCTTTAGCGTATGGGTGATAAAAATTACACTAATCAAGATATTCTAAACATGTTTTATATATATGGCGAGTGCGGAAAAGTTTTATAAAGAACAATAAGAACTTTTAATGAGAGGTATCCCAATTTAACCCAGAAAGTGTATTTAAAGTAACAAAAAAGTCAACGTAAATACCAGACACCCTGTATAAAATTTTTAAATACCTACTGTTAATGGCTTTCGATAGTTAACAAGTACACCATAAATTTTAATTTTAACATTACAATTAGTGGAAATACGGACATATACATAAGTAAGACCATCCATCTGTCAAAATTTTTGAGAAAAATTGAATAGGTAGGTACCTACCTAGATATCTTAAAAACTGTTAAAAATTTAAAAAAATTATTAAATTTTAGTATTTTTAGAATTTTACGTATAGAATTTAAAAAGTCAAAGTTAAATTAAAACTAGGAAAATTGGTGTCGTCCCGGGAAAAACCAACACCCTGTAAAAATGAAAGTATTAAAACAAATTATTTTAATTCATGAAACTGCCACCATATTTCCAATAGTTTCTGAGATATGTAGACAGCGTAAATTAAATAAGTAAATTCGTTGTGGGGGGACAGAAATCATTTTTTACGGTATATGACCACCCCAGATATAAGAAATACTTATTTGTGGAATTGAGGCGAACCGACCAACCCAAGCACAACAAACTTCCACGAACGTTTGGTGTACTTAACGGTTATGAACATATTAATAAGCGCTTTTTTATTTTAAAGTAATTTTTTTCTACTTATTATTATGCTGTGTTACGTTTGTACGATGCAGACAGTGGTCAGCAATGCACAGGCATGTAAATTATTCAAAAAAAAATATAAAATATGCTGCTTGTTTAAAAAATAAGAATCCGATAAAAAAATTGAATTTAATGTAGTGTGCTCAGAAATTTAAAAAAAATTAAAATGCTTCAAAGCACCCTGTACATTTGATTTTTTAATGGGGATCCCATTTTTTTAAGACGAATGAGCCGCCAAGTTCCCCCGATTTGACCCTCCTAGACTTTTTATGGG